TTTAGGATGTACCTCCAACGATGAGGAAACATTCACCAAGAGGGAAGGGGAGAAGAAAAGATGTAAAATCAGATGTGAATGGCAAGTAACCAGGGGTGGCAGGAGATACAAGAGAAATATGAGCAAATAGGGTAGAAGGTGTGAAGGACAGTCAGGACTGTAGGTGGTAGTGGTGCCAAATGCTCACAGAGTATGCAAGGAAAGCCACTCATTTTTGCAATTACTTGGTATGTGACGACTTTAGCAAGAGTCATTTCAGGAGTGCACTGGTGGTAGCATAGTGTAGGCTGCAGGGGAGGGGGGAAAATGGAAGGTAAAAAGAAAAAGCAGAAAACAGATTACTCTTTTTTAAAAAGTCTGGAAGTAAAGAAAAGGAGAAGATAGAATTCTAAGCGTGAACAGAGTGGCAAGATTTAGACTGCTGTTAAGAAAATGAGAAGAATTTCCCATCCCACAGAAGATCCAAAGTAGCAATTAGAAGTAGCTGCTGTAGGAAGGACACAGACATCAGGGGGGACTACTGACAGTCTGAATGGAGAAAAGAGGCATAAAACACCAGAGGCAAATGATTTAACAAAGTATGGTCCATCTATTCAATGGCTATTCAGCCATTAAAAATAATGAAGTACTGATACATTCTACGATTTAGACGAATCTTGAAACATGATGCTAAGTGAAAGAAGTCAGTCACAAAAGACCATACAGTATATGATTCCATCTATATGGAAGGTCCAGAATGGGAAAATCCATAGAGACAGAAGGCAGATTAGTGGTTGCCAGGGGCTGGGGGAGGGGAATAAGGAGTGACTGCTTAAGGGTATGGGGTTTTCTTTTGAGGTTATGAAAATGTTTTGGAATTAGAGATGGTGGTTGCACAACATTGTGAATGTATAATTAAATGTCACTGAACTGTACACTGTAAAATGATTAAAACAGTAAATCTTGTATTGTATATATTTTACCACATACACATGCACATGCACAAAAGCAACTCGATGCAGCAAGAAACCAGTCAGGGCACCAGGCTGGAAACTGAATGTGAGAGCAAACAGTCAACAGCAATTGTAAGAACAATCTTTGTAATTCTTGAGTCATGAAAAGAAGATACGTTATGTCTACTACTAGATTGAACCATATGAAATTGCAGAACAATGGCAGTTTCATATGGGTCAATCTAATATATTCTTTTTTAAAGATACCACACTCTATGTGACATTTTTATAAAGATTTCTGTCGCTGATGATTCCAGATAAATTAAACGCTGCTGCCGCTCACAATCCTAACTGATCCTGGCTGTCAGTCCTCACTGCTCAAAATGAAAACTCCAACTTGGGAAAAGAGACTTAAAGAAACAATTTTACTTGGAAAGAAGAATGTCTGACAGGGAGAGCAGGCAATGAAGAATAACACAGTGCCCCTGTTTCTCACTTTGCCAGCTCCTTCTAGAGGATGAAGAACAAGCAGAAGAACCAGGTCAACTGTTAAAACCCCACCTTCCTGGGGACACATGGAGCTCCCTGGTCAGTCAGGTCAAACGGGGCTTCTCATGAAGAATAGCAACTAATGCCACTTTCCACCTTTAGATCAAACCAGCCCTGCTCATTATTAGCTCCTTTTATTTCACAATTTCCTGTATCACCTTTCTAAGGAGATAAAAAGAGAGAATGCTCTACAAAACCACTGTTACCAGGAGGCAAATTCCTTCTTTTATTTCAATAAATAACCTCATCTCCAAGCCTCTGAGAACTTGATTAAGAAATCCTGAGAGGGCCGGCCCGGTGGCGCACTCGGTAGAGTGCGGCGCTTGGGAGCGCGGTAGCGCTCCCGCCGAGGGTTCGGATCCCATATAGAGACCGGTCCGCTCACTGGTTGAGCGCGGTGCGGGCGCGACACCGAGGGTTGCGATACCGTTAACGGTCATGAAAAAAGACAGAAAGGGGAAAAAAAAAAAAAGAAATCCTGAGAAAGATTTATTTAGGTAATGTAAAACTGACAAACAGGAAATGAGACAGCCCTCATTATGAAGGGGGCTTCTCAAAGGAAGTAAAAGTCCTTTGCCAGTAATTCCAGTGAGATCCTTAACATGCAGCACAGATTCTGGGATGCCTTGGGTTTTCTAAGCAGAATAAACATTTGAGGCAGAAAAAAAACACAAGTAGAGTTCACAGTGCATTTTTATAGCACTTTCTGACCCCACCCACCCCATTCCTAGTTCACAGGTTTTGGTGGTTTTTGGTTTTTGGTTTTTTTGTCTTTTTTCGTGACCGGTAAGGGGATCGCAACCCTTGGTGTGGTGTTGCCCACACCGCACTCAACCAGTGAGCGCACCGGCCATCCCTATATAGGATCCAAACCTGCGGCGGGGGCGTCGCTTCGCTCCCAGCGCTGCACTCTCCCGAGTGTGCCACGGGCTTGGCCCTTTGTAAATCCTAACAACAATAATTATGAAGTAAGTAGAAATAAGCTTTTTTCTCAGTATCGGACAGTAGGGAAAACAGGCTTCAGAGTAAGACAGACATAAATCTCAGCTCCTCCACTGACTAACTGTGTATCCTTGCCAAGTTACTCGACTTTTGAGCTTTGGCTTCCTCACCTACAAAATAATCTTACTATCTCAGAGGTATGTTGTGATGATTCCATGAAACAGCAGAAAAGCAAGCAGCTCAGTAAGGTTCAATGAATTATGGTGCTACTAAGTAAAGGATTCAGGAAAGAACTCAGATCCTGGGTCACTATTTATCATGTCAATATAGTGTATACTATCTTAATTTCAGAATGAAACACTAAGTATTTCTAAAGTACAATTGAGATTCTTTCTTTTTAAAAATAGGACTTGTCAGACACTAGCTCTGTAATATATTTCCAACACAGCTGATCAATAGCTTGACTTAACTATAGAAAGTAACTAAGTGAAAATTCATAATTTTACAGTAGTAAACAGCATTCTAGATTCTTGGAGATTAGACAGTAAGAATAATAGAGCCCGATGAATTAATCGGTCTTCTTTAAACTAAGGTTGCTTCTAAGTTATTTTAAATGGGTCCTTCCCTCCACTCTTTCAAACATACATGTATATCAAGAAAAGGATGTAATCTTTCTTCTTAATCAATATCATTTTAACAATCTCAATCATCAAAGCTTATCATGTTTTAGTTCACACTCACTTTTTTCTCTCTTCCAAGTAAAACACAGAAAACTACAAATGGTAATCCATTCCATTCTTTAAAAGGAAGTCACTTTCTTAGCTGTTCCTTATAGGCACTATTTTCTAACACCCTGCAAAGTGATTGATTTTCATATTTTTAATCACAAAACCTTTTCAGTAGGAAACGGAGATCCCTATTGCAAAAAAGAGAATGGAGCTGCTGGGATGGACAGGAGCCCTGGAAACCTCTGCCCAAGGAATCGTGATGTCTCTTTCTGGGCTCCTTCCGGTTCTGAGAGATAGAGACAAGAACTGTAATCATCAGCCCAGTTAAGGTCACAACATGACAGAGGATGATCTCTGTGTTTCTATTTATGAGAACCATTTTATCTACCAGAGATGTTCAATGAAATGAGATAAAACGAGATGGGAACAGACTCAGCTCTTATCCCAGATCCTTCTCTTTCAAGTCCTTGTGAACACACTGATATTAGAGATACCAAATGTTTTAGATGCTCTAGCTTATGCCAGGAAAAAAAGAATCTTTTGTGGTCAAAGGGCTTCTATTTTTCGTGAACTCCAATTTCTCACATACTGATCACAGAAGAGTGCAGTGACTCTAATTAAATCAATACACTTTGATTCTTTTCTAGATCCAAATCAGAAAATGACAAATATCTCTTCACACTACTAGCTAAATGATGTTGGGCAAATTACTATCTTCTTTGTGCTTCTGTTTCCTCTTTTACAAATGGGGGTAATACTAGTGCCATCTCACAGAGTTATGGTAAGGATTAAGTGAAATAATAGCTACCATTTATTTGTTCCTGTCACACAGTAAGAATCAATAAATGTTAGCTACTATCACCAATAGCATCACCATCATCTTGGGGTTTGGAGACATGAGGCATTTCTTTCATGAAATCTATAATGAAGATTTTTAAACTTTGAAATCAACACTTCAAAAAGTGCTTTCACCACAAACTGCATGATGTCAATGGGTACTCAATACAATTACCCTAAACTGCTTCATCCCAAGTGAGAATTAATGTTTGCAACACACAAAGGGGGAAAAATATTTTCCCTTAGAGTGCAAAGCAAGAATTAATGACTACACAGCAAAAGTATCTTAAAAATGTAATTTCAAGCTGTTGCTCTGAGATCAGATGTGACTAACAATTACATCACTTGGATTCAACTGTTAGAGAAGAATCAAAAGCAGAATACAGCATTCTTTAAGACCAAGTTTGTTCCCATGTTTAATCGACTTCTGTCAGAAACCTCTGTAATTTAAATACAGAAGCAAATGGGTTGTGGTTTGCTTATAGTTTATTCCAGCTGTAACACACATCCCATATATATCAATACACACAAGTATACGTATATACACAATTCTATTAACAAATATTTAAACATTTTTAAAATTTAAAGTAGAGTTCTTTTTAAAATCAGCTGCAAACCCTCACACTAAAACCATATTCTTGGAATCTGTTTCCTTAAAACCAATTTTGATGAAAGAGAAAAATAATTTTGAAATCCAAGCAGTACTAGGGAGATGATATTGTCCCTTTCCATTTAGATGCATCGCTAAAAGATTGTCTAATAAAGATTTTATTTTCTACTTGCTTGGAAGTTCCAATGTTCTTTTTTTTTTAAAATCTGTCAATTCACTGCTACCCTAAATCCTATAGTAGCACACTTGAAAACAAGGAGATATATAACACAGGTAACCTGAAATCCAATCTGGAATGACCCAGCCACTGAGAAGATCTCTGAGTAGCCTCCAAGCACGCTGCAAACAGCAGGAGACGTCAGCCTGCAAGGCAGAGCTGGAAACCCCCAAAGTCCCACTGACCTTCTGATGACTTGTGACTTCGTCCCTGCTTCTCCCCAGCTCCTCGGCAAGTTTAACGTTCTCTTCTTGCAATGCTGAAAGCTGCTGGGACTTCTGAGCTGCCGCCTGCTTTAGGGTTTCTCTGCAAGGACAGTGAGTGCAGGGTTACCATAGAAACAAGACAGGCAAGGAAACTGTGGGAGACAACCAGCTTCACAGCACTGAGGAAAATATATCTGGGTCACGTGCCTGATAAGATCTATAATAGCAGGAGACAGTATTATCTACGTGAAGGAGGGACTAAGTGGCTTTAACCCTTCAAAAGGAGGATTGCTGCCCACAATTATTACATTTTTTTAAACCTAATCAACACTACACCCACTCTTCCACTACCCACACTTACTCCATACAAAAAGTAATTCTGATGTAAAATAAATGACAAATGAAATGGTCAGTACGGCCCTTTTGTCTTTAGGAATATTCCTATTAGATAATTCTACTAAAACCCACTTCGTTGATATAGTGATTTAATTTGCTCCCAAAGCACTCTGTTCTAACTGCACAAATCTGTAATCTGTTTTTCTCAGGCAGAAATAAAAATCCAATGGTCCCATTTATCAGTATCCATCAGAGTCAAGTGCTGATGTGAATCTGAGTATATTTTTAGGACAACTAGAGGTGAAATGCCCAAAGAAAATACAGTTTTCTAACTACATAACAGGTTTTTTATTTTGATAGTATTCTTTCCATAATGCTAATTTGTAATTAAAAGAAGCAAATAAAGATATAGTACAGCCTGCTAACTAACCTCATATCATAAATATCAGCATACAAAACATGAATAGGGTAGGTGCACTTATTAAACATCTTCCTATTACTAAAATTAATCCAAAATATACATACTAAATTATTATCCTTTACACATGGATATTCAAAATATTTTACTTGATCACTGGATTTTAGCTTTATGCCATAGAAGGTTTTGATGCAATCGTGAATTTTAAGTAAGTCTGTGCTGGTTAAATCCATTTAGCAAGCTGTTGTACGTGGCTGAATTCTGAATCCAGTCATCTGGGTCTGAATCCATCTGCTGATGCATGAACACATCTATTTTTACCTTCAATTGTCTAATGGGTGGCAGTGCTTGGCATCTTCAATTTTCTCAATTTTTAACTCCCCATCCACCTATAATATGCATACTGCAATGGTCTCATGATCATTTAGGGGAATAAGTCTACACAAAAATTCTCTTAGCATACTAAATTAGGCTTTCTACATAGATGTTTATTTAGCAAGTGAAGAAAAACTGAGAAGGAGTTTCAGCCTCAGGTAATTGGTCATTCAAAAGCTGGGAGGCTTGATTTTAATTATGGATCAAAATATTATATACAGATGTACATACACACACACACACACATATGACAGCTAAAGTTCAACTTCCAGCCAAAGTCCATCAATCTTTGACAAATCAGAAGATTTTACTTATGATGAAATCATCATAAGCCAAACATTTTACTTCCCAGGTGATCATTAGGGGCTACTAGGTCTCAGTGTTTGTGTGGCCTGTTCAATTAGTAAGTTTGTGCTCATGTTCCTTCTCTCTTAAACGTTTTCATCTTCTAAAGTTTTTATGGGTTTTACTGGTTATATTAGGAGTCCACAGTAAGGAAAACTAAAAGGAGTCAAAGAAGCAATCTACAAATGGCCAAAATGTCCTCAGGTATCGACCTGTAAAAACAATACTTAATGTTTTAAAGTTTACAAAATGCTTTCATGTACATTTTGTCATTTACTCCTCAAAGCCCAAGGAGGCTAATATTACATTTTAAGATGAGAAAACTGAAGCTCGGGGAAGTAAAGAGATTTGCCCAAAATCATAAAGCCAAGAAAGTAGCAGAAACCAAAGAACTGGAGTTACAACTGGCAGATGAATTTCAGTTGTGATTCAAATATAAAAAAGAACACCTTTCAATTTTTCATTAATGGGTAGTGGGCAAATGCATTTCACTGAGGAAAGAGGCTTTAAGAGCCTAAATTCTGGAAATATGCAAGAAATGATTCTGAAAATACCTACAAAAATATTTCTAATGATTTTTAAAGAGCTATTTTTCTTTCTACATGACAAGATATCTTGAGTCAGAAAAAGACTCTGTAGTTTTAAAACTGAGAGATGAAGTAAACATTATTAATATTGACTTGCAAACATTTTACTTATGAATCCATCATAAATCTATTATGTTAAATATATTCTAGATTTATTACTGTGCCAGGTGAGTAATTAAAGATAAAAATTAGATTGCTTATACTGCTTTCCCTAAGATCTAAAGTTATATACCCGTGAGAGACCATTTTATTTTTTTGTCTTTTTTGAGACCGGCCACACCGTGCTCAGCCAGTGAGCGCTGTGAGCGCACCGGTCATCCCTATATAGGATCCGAACCCGTGGCGGGAGCACTGCTGCGCTCCCAGCGCCGCACTCTCCCGAGTGTGCCACGGGCTCGGCCCAGAGACCATTTTATTTTTGATCTCCAACTGAAAATGGGAGCTTGTTAATAAAAATCAAGAGCTTTCCTAAAACCAGTCTAGAAAGTAATGTAGAGGAAATGAACATTAAGTTACAAGCACTGGTTTCCAGTGACAAGGGCAAAATTCTAGAACCCCAGTGCCTACACTGGTATCTCTTTTTCTCCAGGAACTGTCAGATGGGGAGAAACACAAAAAAGCTCTGGAAAACATGAAGAACCCCACATACATGTCAAATCTCAGTAAAAACAAACAGCTGCTCATTCCCTGGTTATGGGCACTGAGGAACAAGACTTATGGGCAAAATGACAGCTTTGTTTAGAGAAGCACATTACATAGTCCCTTTACATCTGATGGTCCTTGAAATCTGGCCAAAACTAGAGCAGGCGACACTGAGTCATCAGGGGCAGGGGCTTTTCCAACCCACTCCCCACACCTCCTTCCACCTGATGAGCAAATAGTATTGAGGATGGTAACTTAAGAACAGAAGTTTGGAACTGATGCACTTTTTTTTTTGGTTTGAATCTCATCTGTTTGTGCTATCAGAATTGGAAATAAATGATATAAACCATTGAAAAGCAGGGACTGCAGGGCCTACCCTGTGGCTCACTCGGGAGAGTGCGGCGCTGGGAGCGCCGAGGCCGCGGGTTCGGATCCTATATAGGGATGGCCAGTGTGCTCCCTGGCTGAGCGCGGTGCGGGCGACACCAAGCCAAGGGTTACAATCCCCTTACCAGTCACACACAACAAAAAAAAAAAAAAGAAAAGCAGGGACTGCATACAATTCATCCTTGTATCCTTCCTTGCTTAACTGTACCTAGCACAAAAGACATACTCAAGTGTTCACCAGCTCAATTGGCTTTAGATTTTTAGGTTCACACAGTTCATACAGTGTAGTTATCAAAATAGAAGACCAAATGAAATCTACACTGTAACCATCATTTACAATAACAGATAAATACCAATCTCTAATAACCACAATAATCGAACATGAAAGGCAAGGGATAAGTTGGTGTCAATAAAGGAGACATGAACAATCTGTCTGCCTGACACTGGGCAGCAGACCCATGGGTAAACCTTAATTTTAAAGAGTCTTCCAAAATACTAGTCATTTAATTTCCATGCCAGAAGATTTGATCACTCTTAAAACCAAGACATTGAAAATCTTGAAAAAGTGACACACTGTTTGTTCTTTGCTGTAAAAAGAGTTTTGAGGGATTTATTAATAAAGGGTCTGACATTTCCAAATGTTAAAATTGGCCATCATGTAAACATTCTACTTTAAACCTCTGATTCTACTTGTGCTTTCACAAAGCTTTACAAAGTCACATTTGAATCCCAAATGTCATGACTCACCAGCCAGTACACATTTCATTTTGATCCTTTAACTTAGCTGTAGTTTTGACTTAGCAGTGGTTATTAGGGTTACTTCTGGGGTATGCAGTAGTATTTGGGGTGGAGGCGGTCAACTATTACTTTATACTTTATGTACTTTTCAAATATTTTCTAAATAATTAGCATTGTTTTCACTTTTGAAATTTAAAATAGCCTTCATAATTTCTCTCAAAGGAAATATACTTACATTTCTTTCCTGAATTCTTCCATTTTTTGATTCTCTACAGTCAGAAGTTCTTTTGATTTGTTAAGTTCTTCCACGTTTTTCAAGTTGTTTTCTTTAAGGGTGTCCAACTTAAAAACCAAGAGAAAAAAACCTGATAAAATTATTTCATTTTCTAATGACATGACTGGAAAGGCAAATTATTCACAAAAATGTGTATTTAAAAGATAGACGAAATTAGTCACTTGCAAAAAAAAAAAAGTCACCTGGGTGAAGAGATTACAAATGACAAGTCTATTATAAACTGCCAACCTCCTCCTTATGTTTAGTCTGACATTTCCTATACATCTGGCCAAAAAGTCAAACTAAATTGCTACATCAGTTAAAACTAAAGTTTTCTTTTTTCTTATGTCCAGTTCTCAGTATTTATCATTAGACTTGCTATTCAAGTATGAGCCATCTTAAAAAAAGGAAACAAACTGCAAAGCAATGACATCAGCAAGGATTATTACTGAAATGAAAAGAAACCCCTTTCCTTCCCCATAGATTAGGAATTTAGGACATGATATTTTTCAATGTCAGTACCAAATTTACATGGCCCTCATGACAAAAATTATTTAAGTAGAAATATTCGCAGATTACGGGGCCGGCCCGGTGGCGCACTGCTACAGCGCGCCGCTTGGGAGTACAGCGGCGCTCCCGCCGAGGGTTTGGATCCCACGTACAGACCGGCCGCTCGCTGGCTAAGCGAGGTGTGGGTGCAACACCGAGGGTTGTGATCCCGTTGCCGGTCGCGGTCCGGTACGGGCGCGACACTGAGGTTGCGATCCGTTGCCGGTCACGAAAAAAGACAAAAAGGAAAAAAAAAAAAAAAGAAATATTCGCAGATTGGAAAACATTAGTTATCCACATGAACTTTAATCTGAAGAGTAAAAAGCTGTGTAGTGAGACTGAAGGGCAGTCACCTTTGTTCAGCCTCATCACCCATCCCTGGGGGATGAAGCCAGCTCGGGGCCTGGCCCCTGGTGGGAAAGCCAGATGCGGTACTGGAATGAGTGGGGAAGTGACTGATCACAGGCTCTGGAGCCCCACCAAGGATGGGAGCTCATATGGGTCAACATTACAGAGGGTGTTCTCCTGGAGCCATGACAACATTCTGGGCCAGCATGGCTAGTTGTCTCCTACAGCCAGAAAAGGGAGTTGTCTCCTTTTGAAATGTCACATGCCACCAGTCAGGAATCTGAGAAGGTGTACTGCTAGTTTTACCACCACAACCCTCCTTTTAATGCCCTCTAACATTCCAGATTTACAGAACAAGAAAAGAAAATCACAATGGGTCCAAGAAACAGTCCATCCAGTCTTGTATTCTGGCTATAATGTAGACACCAAGGGATATGTTATAGAAAGACACCATTCTCCCTGATTCTAATTTTAATTATCATCTATGATTTTTTAATGTTTTTCTATTTTTAGCTTAAGTCTTCTCCTAGAATTGTCAGTTCTTTAAGTGTACTCCTTCTATGTGAAGTTTTATTTACCCTGTAATTACCTCAAAATGTTCGTGTCTTAACAGATTTTGATCTTTGACTTTCTACAATGAGGAGGCCTAGTCCTCACAGTAGCTATTTGATTTGACCATCTCCTCCCTTGCTTTAGTTCCTTAATGTCTTACCAGCCTATCACCTTAAAAAGCATCTAAAGTCCAACAGAACTTCCCATAACCATTTCAGTGAATCAATCTGCTTAGGATTTAAGAAACCGCTTTCCAAAGAAAAAAACAGGTGATATGAGCTGGGAGGGTGGGAGTAAGGGAATAAAAGAAGGATACAAGGAGAAATGCTCCTTGTGGACAGAATCAAAATATCTTGAATGCCATAGATTTGTCCCAGTTCCAGAAGTGACTAATTCAAGATGACACAAAAGGGAATCAGTACTGAATTAGGCCAAGAAAAGGCCTACATCAAACTCAAGGGTGAGGAATGGAGAATTTATTTACTGGCTCAAAGTTGGAAGAGAGTTGAGAAAAAAATGTGTGTGATATAAGATAAAGGATACTAAAACTAAATAATGCCATCAGTACCTCCTCCCACGAGTGCTATTACTAAATAGTTATTTTAGAAAGCCACGCTATTAGGGTTTTCCCCGCAATTTTTAAAGGTTGATCCTACTAAATAAGTAATGAAGTAATACACTTTATTTAATATTATCAAGGCTCTAGTGTACATTCGACACTACTAAATCAAACCTGTATAAGGCCGCACTTAAAAAAAAAAATAATCCTGAATTAGTGATCAAACATTCCATGAAGTCGATAAGCTGTTCTTTGTACAAAAAGCCATTTAAATCTGATTACTTCATTTTGTAGTTTTGCATTTGTTTGCTTGGTATCTTCCAAAGAGGCCAGAGTTTCAGTCTTCTCCTTGGTCATCTGTTCCATTATCTGCATAGCATCTTCTGCTGTTTGAGCAGCCTAAATACAAGAAAACACCGTGAGAAATGAGGTCACCCCTCACCAACACCGTTAGGTGATAATCAGGCTGTGCTGCTGTTCAGGCAGCCTTCAGTGTCTGTGTGGTTAAGGGAGACAGAGAGAGGATGGTTCAGGCACCAGCCCAATGCTAACACAGACAGACCAAGATATGAAAGGTCTTTACTCTGAAGTAGCACAAAGTTGCAGACCCTTTTCATGCCATTTTTCCATAAGTCGACTGTTATGCAATTTGCATATTTTAGACCTCTCTACATCTACATCTTCCAGTGAAAGTTCCAAGTTACAATGACAAGCATGTTTTCTCATCATTCTGACTTATATTTGAGAGACCACTCAGTAATTATAAACAGTAACATCCGTATACAGCTGAATTTCTCTTAATCATAATAACTGTTATAAGTTTTTTTTTTTTCTCCTCTCCCTGTTATAAGTTTAAAATACTATTCTTGCTATTTCAAATTTGGGGCACTCAGAATTTAGGTTGGGAATTTTTCAAATAGAAATGAAAATTATTTGGGCAACTATGACATAAGGCTCCAGTGTTTAATGAGAAGTGTCTAAAGAGAAAAAAGCCTACGGAAAAGTCTGTGTATGAGAGAGCTATGGGTAATGAATATAAACATGGCTGTGAATAAAAAAGATACATGTAAACAAAGAAATTCTTAGCTGCTAAATATAAAAAAAATCATAAAAAGTTAGATATAAAAATAAATTAAAATCTTTTTAGACACTTGACTACAACTTCATTTGGACTAATAAAGTTTATGGGAATTCTGCATTATATCTGTCCTATTATCAGCCATGGAGATTTCAGTGGAATCTTCCAACTCCAAATGGACAGACACAATGAAACAGCTAAAAGCCAAATAGGAGACACTATATTTCAATATATGCCCATTTTACTACTGCTCTAAAGTCTTTAAATACCCAGTCAACTATTTCACAAAGTTTCTCCTTAAAGGAAAAAATCCTTTTTATTCACAGTTTGCAATGGGGAAGAGACTACTGCAATTAGACATTTAGTAAAGAATTGCCCTTTCATACTGTAATAAACAGCTTAAGACAGATAACCAACTGATTTAATGGGGTGGAGTTCCATAAGTAGAAATGAAGAAAAACCACCTAAGCCACCAAAGTTAGTGCATAGTGTTAGTAAGCAGTCCAGGGGCTCAATATTTAAACCTCTCACTTTACCGTAAATGACTGAAGAGTCTCAATCTCTCTAATTTTAAGAGTAAGCTTGCTCCTGTCTTTCCTCAAAGTACGATTTTCATTTTGAGATTCTAGGAGATTGGCTGAAATGTGGCTGTTGGTTTGGGCCAGCTGGCTAATCTCTTTCTGAAGGAGGAAGTAGCTTTCCGCCAGGTTTTCCTTCTCCTTTAGGAGCTCGTCCTTCTGCAGCATCATCTCCCTTTTCTCAGCCAGGAGATTCTTATTCTCTTGCATCACCTGGGCACTTTCGGCCAGGGTCACCTCATGGTTCAGCTGAAGGTCGTTCAGAATCTTGGTGAGGTAGCTATGCAGTTCTTGCAGTTCTAACTTGGATTTGGACAAGACAGCAAAATCGCTTTTCATAGTCTCTATACTGGCAGCAAGTTGGGCTGTTTCTGCACTCAGGAGTTCCTTTTCCTTTATTATCTCTACCATTTTTTGCTCCAATTTGGTTTTCTCTTGGATTAGCACAAACTTCTCAGACTGGAGCTCCTTCGTACATACTCTTAACTCCTCCACCTCCTGCTCCAGCAGCACCATTCTCCCATGAAGTTTATTATTTTCATACAAGGATGACTCATTTTCTTTAGCTCTGGCTTCTTTTTCCCGGATTAAGGACTGCTGCATTTCATGGATCTCCTCTTTTAATTTCTGACACTTTTCTTGCAGGGTCAAGCCATCCCTCAGCAAAATGTTCTTTTCAGAACAACATTTCTTAAATTCAGCATTCAAACTCTCCTTTGCTTGCAGTATGTGCATCTGTTCTTTTTCTAGGTTCTTTTTGGCATTTTGAGCCTCTTTCAGCATCAAAGAGAGCTCATACTTGTTGGCTGCTAGTTCTTGGTTTTCCTTTTTTCTCTCTTGAAGCTCTTTCTTCAGAGCATCAATATTACCAAGTAGTTTCATCTTCTCATGCACAATTATTCTTCTGTTTGCAGCCTCTTGATCATATTTCCTCTTAAGGTCTCCTATGGCTTTGATAGAATTTTCTCTCTCTTCAAGTAAATCTCCATTTTGTATTTCCAGTGCAGATTTTTCTTTCAAGAGACTATCCTGCTGCTTTTTAAACTTAGTAATTTTCTGACTAATTATCTCCTTCTCAGAAGTTAAGTAATTGATCTTCTCGTTCAGGCTCACCTCAGTATGAGCAGCCTCTTCTGAGCATTTGTTGAGCTTTTCAGAGATGATCCTATTTTCACTTAAAAGTTCTTCTTTGTCAGCCAAGAGCCTTCTCTCTGAGGAGGCCAAGGTTTCTTTCTCATGCAGAAGTTGGATGCACTCAGAATCTGTGATGGCCCGACTGGTCTTGATTTCTTCCAAGAGTTTTGTGAGGCTTGTATTTGTTGCCTGAAGTTGCAAAGTCTCCAGCTCGGCTTTCCTAAGCGCTTTGCTGGCATTGTCCAGCTGTGTCTGCAGCCCAGTAGCTTCTGCACTGAGCAGCTGTTTGACCTGGAGGGCAGCCTGCAGGTTGGCATTCATCTTTTCCTGATCTTGAATAAGCACATCCTTCTCAAACTGCAGATCTCTGTTTTTCTGAAGAAGTTTATCTCGTTCTACCTTTAAGGCTATGCACATGTTATCAAGACTCGACTGTTTCTCTACAGCTGACTTTTTCTCAGCTGTGAGCTCTTCAATCTCTTGTACCAAGGTCTTCTGGTCTTTGACTAGCTCCTCATAAGAGCTCTGAAGTGTCAGAATGATGTCATCTTTATCTTTAGCCAAGACAAGGTTTTCAGCAATCAGCTTCTTGATCTGACCCTCCAGGTGATATTTTTCTTCCTGTGCCTTTTCAGACTTGGCAATCAGAGTATCTTTGCTGAGCTGGAGTTCTTCAGTAAGTGCCCGCATGCTCACCTTGGAAGCTTGCAAAGAGTCATTCTCCATATTTATCTTCAAGAGTTCTTCCTGTGCAATATTGATTTCTTCAAGCAATTTCTCTCTCTCAACAGCCAAAGCTTCTCTGTCAAGATGTTCCTGCTGATAAAGCTTTTCAGCTTGTTCCTTTTCTTCTAAGATTTTCTCCTTTTCTAAATTAAGAGTTTCGTTTACTGACCACAGTTTCTGTTGGTCTTCCTGAAGTAAATTTATTTTGGCCTCCACCTCTACAAGCTTTGATAACAGTGAACCTTTTTCTAACTTTAAGGCATTTCCCTCCTGTGCAAGAAGCTGCTTCTCTGATTTCAGACCCCTCAGCTCTTCTGATATTAGTTCAACTTCTTTTTTGGCTGATGTTAACAAATAAGTTAGCGACTACAGAAACAAAAGGTGGAAAGAATGGAAACAAAAATGAAATCAAGCAGACAAATGCAAGCCCAAACAACTTAATGTATCCTAAGTCACAAAAGTTAAAAATTTCTACTAAACTTCATAGAAACTATCTGCATAACAAGGGAAAGAAACTAAATAACAGAGCCCATAAAAGGATAATACAAAGCAAGTTTAGCTTTGCAAAATGCTTATATATCTATTCCCTTTTTTTTTTTTGTCTTTTTTCCGTGTCCGGCAACGGATCGCAACCCTCAGTGTCGCCCCCGTACCGGACCGGGACCGGCAACGGGATCGCAGCCCTCGGCGCCGCCCCCGCGCCTCGCTCAGCCAGTGAGCGGGAACCGGTCTGTATGTGGGATCCGAACCCTCGGCGGGAGCGCTGCCGCGCTTCCCAAGCAGCGCACTATAGCAGTGCGCCACCGGGCCAGCCCTCTATTCCCTTTTTGAAACAACTTGCAAAATTAATCCTGATGTCTACCCAAAAGATTAAAACAGTAGCTTGATTTTTACATCAGGGCATGAGATTCTTTCCTGCCATTCAATTATCCAATTATTTCTATTGTAGAAAGGTTTCATAGGAGAATTTTTAAAAATATGATTCAAAAAACTACAAAAAGTGAGTACACTTCAATTTAAAAAAGGGGAGGTAACAGGGAAAAAAACTGTTGCTTTTCAAACTAACTGGAGGACCTTACCAAAGGACAGTCACAGGGCTGAGAGTGATTTAGTCTCAATATCACATCTAACTTATTTAAAAATACAGACTAATCTCTACGCTTTGGTGACTAAATAGATTTATTGAATGTATTGACTTATAAGATAATTTGGCTACAGTGTCTATACTCCTGCTGTCCAGAACTTTCTGCAATGATATAAATGTTCTTATCTGAGCTGTCCCCATACGGCAGCCATGTGACTGCTGAGCACTTGAAATGTGATGAGTGCAAATGAATAGCTGAATTTGTGATTTTGTTAAAATGTAACAAATTTAAATTTAAATGGCCCCACATGGTTAGTGTCTACTGTACTGGACAGCACATCTATAGACCATTGGCTCTTAAACAGAAAACATGGAGGCTTCATGGGCTCTGTTAACCTCCTGAAATTGTACGTAAAACTTATTGGATGCATATATAAACTTTCCTGGGAAAATATCTTTGGGTTTCATCTGATTTTCCAAAGAGTCTGCGACTCATTAAAATACACTAAAATCAGATATCCAGACAATTTTGGAGGGGGAATGATCCTGGCTTTTTAATGACCCTTGTTCAAAAACCAACAACAAAATTAATGAGACCTTACACAAATGACCAGAATGCTGTTGGTCAGGCTGCAATATTTTAAAGAAAACACTAAGAAACTGCAGCCTGTCCAGATAAACAGAACCACAAAGACAAAAGATCTGGGAATAATATACAGTATTAAATGGCTCATAAAACTGGAGGTGTTTGACTGCCAGCATGTAGGAGAGGGAAAAAGTAGGTGTCTTATATATGACATATATTATGTCACTGTCCACTTAATTAACAGTAGGTTTTTAAATGGGATTGGTTTCAAGTCCTATATATATTCTTGTAATTTCTTTCTACTAAGCTCCTATATAAAAATTTCTCTAACACACCTTAAAAACAAATAAAGACAAGTATTTACTTTTCTTTGAGCAATAAAAAGTTAATAGTAGTAGGAAGGTTGAACATCATTAAGTTACCAAAGTCAAAAAATACATACTGGGGTACAGACACAATCCTGAAATCATAAAATAAAATTCAGTATATCCAGTCCTACTCTATTTACTAATAGGATGTTTCCTGACTGCCTTGAATCCAGCTTCCATGTCAAAAAGCTCACAGTACCTTCCAGGGGACATATAAAAGCCCTTCCTAGAGTTCTCAATTCTAATTTTTCCTATAAGGGCTCTGTTCCTCCAGCTGGGCTCCCTCCAGTTCTGATTCCTGCCCATTTGCTTCACTTGGCCTCTGCATCTTCCTTTTCTTCAACAAGTCTCTCCTAACCCTAGCACAAGGTGGCAGCAAGCACAGCCAGGGTTAGAGGAACACTCCCCACCACAGAGCCTATTGCAAGCAGATAGACAGACAGCTCAGGTGACGAGAATCTTTGTGACAGACAGGGAACAAGCAGCATAGGGGGTGGTGGCTAGGCAGTACATTCAGGGAAAGACCTGTAGCCATCACCAGCCCTGAGAAGGAACAGCAGCTGATACGAAATGCTTGAGGCTGTAGGAAATGTAACTCACCGCCCTGCCTTGCATTCAGAAGGTTAACATTTGTGAAGGCCAACTTAACTAGTCCCATTTGCTGCTGCTTTATAAGTACCTTCCCAGCCCTGCTGCAGAACTCGAACAAGCTATACCGCAATAATATTATTCTCTCCCATCACATACTTTAGCTTTGTCAGCTTGTTTTTTCAGTTCCTCCATCTCCTGCAACAAGTCACTGTTCATCTCTTGTGCAGCCTTCAGCTTCTCCTCTGTGTCCAAAAGCATCTTCTGTAGGTTCTGCAGGGTTTCCTCGTGCTTAGTTTTTGTCTCAGAACTGGCTTTTTCATACCTGGATTTCAGATCCTGACATTGGTTGTGGCTTGTTTCCACCTTCTTTTCCTGTAGAAACCCCGAGGGAAGGAATAGGTCATCTAGCTTACTTGTATTGCCCCTGCCTGCCTTGCCAGCAGGAAGTCCCATCTATTCTTTCCTTACCAGGTCCAACAATTTTGTCTCCAGTTTTTTCTTTTCTTCCTCGTGCTTTTTAGCTGCTTCTTGCCGGCTCTGTTCAGCTTTGAGAGTTACTTCCCCAATACTTTTCTGCAGAAAACTTGCATTTTCGTTAGACTTTGTAAGTTTTAGCTGTAATTCTTCTACATATCTAGAACAAGTTTCAATACAAAGTGTCAGATTTTCCATAACAATGTTTGAAATTTAAGAATATTTAAAACATGCCATTTATAACAATTGCATCAATGATTATAAAAGTTATAACAACAGCTGGAAAAAAAAAAAAACACCCCCCCAGAAAGAAAACATAGGGGAAAACACTTCAGGAGGGGGGACTGGGCAAAGACTATATGAAAAAAACCTTACTTCCCCAATACTTTTCTGCAGAAAACTTGCATTTTCGTTAGACTTTGTAAGTTTTAGCTGTAATTCTTCTACATATCTAGAACAAGTTTCAATACAAAGTGTCAGATTTTCCATAACAATGTTTGAAATTTAAGAATATTTAAAACATGCCATTTATAACAATTGCATCAATGATTATAAAAGTTATAACAACAGCTGGAAAAAAAAAAAAAAGACTTGCCTGAAGAATAATTTCAACAACTGTGATGTTTTATAAATACATTTGTTATTTAGAGCAACAAGTACTGTAATTGTGAAGGTTTACTATTTTATGTCAATGGATCAATAAGGAAAATGAGTGAAAAATAGACATACTAAAGGAAATGAGTATTTAGAAAGTTTCAAATTTTAGCAGACTAGATTACCAAAAACTCATTTTAGTGCCTCTTGAAAAGAGAAGATACAAAAATGTCTACAAACAACCTGAAGTTCAGCTAAAATAGAACCATGTGGTTAAACAAGGTTGTTTAGAAAACATGGGATATCCACCTAGAAAACAGACTATTAAATGAATCAGAGAACACAAGAGGGAAATTTGGGGGTACCTCAAATTTTATACCTATAAAACACCTACAAAAATGGAACTTCTTGAAGGTTGCATCACAGCCACCTGTGGAGCTGCACGTGCTTTACAGCAAGACTGACCTACACTGGCCAGCCAAGGTCCGGTCACCAGTCACCCACTGACTCTGAACTGTGAGTGGGTGAAAGGCTGTATGTAAATGATCTTCACAAGTATTAGTACTTTAAGAAGTAGAATTCTAATGGTCCTAAAATGTCCTCTAAGAGTTTTTGCCTTATAAATTAAAACATCTGGGGTTTCTTTTTTTTTTTGGTGGCTAGCCAGTATGGGCAGCCGAACCCTTGACCTTGGTGTTATCAGCACCATAAAACATTTGATTTTTATATGACAGCTATTAAAAAGAAGACACACACACACAAAAATCAAAGCAACAAGAACTTCAGAATAAACACAAGAACAGATATTAAGATAAAAGAAACTAGCAGCAAGGAAGCACAATCTAGTGAATAAGAGCAGCAGGGGGAGTCTAGGACCAGACTGCCCAGATCTGAAACCTCAGGCAAAGTTACTTAATCCCACTAAGCTTATTTCTCTTTCTTTACAAAGGGAATAACACTGAACTCTCCTCGCATGATTATTATGAGAATTATAAAACATACACCATATAAAGCTGCTGCAGTGCATGGCACATAGTAAACCCTTACTAAGTGTTATCTCCCATTACATTTAAGTAAACTAAAAATATTTTTGACCACCTATAAAAGATGTTATTGCCATGGGTAAACTATTACCTTTTCTTTACAAGTCACAAAAAGGTCTATAAATAATATTGTATTCCTTCTTGACACACGAAGTAAAACCTAAATAGTGGATTCAAGGACCCATTTTTTAGAAGCTAAATAGGGGATTCAAGGACCCATTAAGGTAATATAGAAACAATGATAGGAAACTGTAAAACATAACAATACTGAACATTTTGTGTCCCTTCCCATCTAGACCTTGCTGCAGAACCTAAGAGTAGACACTCATATTAACACATTCACATGTACCTTTCTTTCAGACGTAATTCGTCATTCATTTTTGTCAGCTGAGAAGAATTATCTCCTGACATCTTCATTATTTCTGCGATGTCGTTTTCCAGTTTTCCCTTCGCCTTTATCAATTGCTCTTCTCTTTCATCTTTCTCTCTAAATTTTGCCTCCATATCTGAATATATAGAGAAAAAAAAGAATAGCACTGCTATGTTATAATCGACAAAAGTTTATGGAGTGTATTGTTGCTCTGGGAATATTTGCAGCTAGCAATCCCTGCCCTCATGGATATCACATTCTAGCAAAGACAGACAATAAAGATAAAGAAAAGAAATATATAATAGATAATCGCAAGTGCTTAGAGGAAAAAAAATAAAAGTGGGGGGAAAGTTGGAAAGGAATTGAGGAGGTTAAATCTTTTTTTTTTTGGTGGCCAGCTGGTACAGGGATCTGAACCCTTGACCTTAGTGTCATAACACTACACTCTAACCAACTGAGCTAACTGGCCAGCCCAGGGGAGGTTAAAATCTTAGATGGGGTTTCTCTGAGATGGTGACATTAAGTAAAGACTGATGGATGTGAGAGAAAAGGGAAGTGTAAGCGCAAAGGCTCTCAGGCAGAGCGGACCTGACATGTCCAAGTATCAGCAAGGCGGCCAATGCAGCCGGAGTGCAACACACAGGGCAGGGTGGTCTGAGGTGAATTCCGAGGTAAGGGGGCCTGATCACGGGAAGAACCACAGCTTTTACTGAATCTGGGAGCTGCTAAACAATCTGGAGTGGACAAGTGACATGATCTGACTTCATGTTAAAAGGATCACCCTGGCTGCTGTGCTGAACTGAAGGGAGAAAGGGCAGGAGACTGGGTGCCAACCATTAGGGTGGTTCAGATGAAAGATGGTCACTGGCTTGGAGCAAGGATAGCAGTGAGAGTGGTCAGATGTGGTGAATTCTGACACTTGTGAAAATAGAGCAAAGAGGACTTGTTGAAGATTACAGATCTCAAACAAGTATCTCATCACATTATCTCACCATGAGGGAAGAAGTAATACCTGAATAGTAGATATGTTACTGTAACATACTACAACTATCTCAAATCCTGAGAAATCTACTATATTTAATGTTTAGCAACCAGAGACATCTTACCTGCCAAATTTTCTCTCAGCTTCTCCAATTCAGAAGACAGCATGTTAAACTGTTCCTCCTTTTGATGTAACTTATTTATAGTTTCTGTTTAGGATAAAGTTAAAAGTTTAATATATCTCACATTTAATAATCCATCTAGAGCTTAGCTGTCTTACAACCCTATCAAATCATATGCTTGTGATATTTGAGAACACAGGAACACTAACAAGCCCCACTACAAACTACACCACCGTACCTGACTCTAAAGCAAACGCTCAGCTCTCTTTGCCTCCCCCCATCCCAATCTGAACAGTAGGCAGCAGGCATGCCTTTCCACTCATCTTTTTCCTCCTTCCAATTAAAACTCAATAAAGGTATCAATGACAAAACCTTAAATAAGAGACTACTCTTCCCAGGAATACTTGCATTTGAGTATGGAACAAGACTTAAGTCAATTTAAAAAAAAAAAAAGAATTGGGAGTTTGAGGCTTCAGGAAGTGGGTGTAATCCAACACTCCTGTCCGCTGCAGTAACTTCCAGGAAAGTGAAGTTAGACTACAGGTAGCATCTATTCCGGGTACTCCAAAGGCCAGCTCCAGTCTGAGAGTATAACATTCTCTAAAGTGACCTGCTCATACATTAGTAAGACATACCTTGCATACTTCTCTGAACAGAGACCGCCTCATCTGAAGCATCTGCAAACTTTTCTTTCTTTAAAAAAAAAGAATCAGATATTCAGAATAGAAAGATTTCAAATTATAAAGATAAAAAGTTTCTATCCATCATAACTACAATACTATCTGCTTTTTGTTGCTGGTTTTGTTTCATTAAAACTAACATACTTAAAACGTAAGCACCAATTACTACCACATGTATAGTGTGCACATGTCCACATATGCACACGAGGTTTGCCTGAGTGTGCATGTATGGGTATGCATGTGTCTGAATGTGCACACAGTAAGTGTATGCATGTATACATGTAGTGCACGTGTATGCTTTGTCAGGTTGCTGCCCCTCAAATAGCAGACTGAGACTGAAGAGCTCTGAAAATTTTAATGTCTGAGAGTAACCCGAGTCTAATGTCAGCTAGTGTCTAGCCCGTGTCAACTACTTTTTTTTAAGTGAAAAGGTCCACTGGTCACCTACTGTTCAAGGTCTTCTTTTCTAAACATGACAATAAGCCAATATAAAAATTACTCTCCTGGTTGTCCTTAGATGAATTTGAGCCAGCTACACTACAAGAATTTTTAAATGAGTATTTCTAACTAACTAGAATTATAAAAAGATGGGTACATGAGCCACAAGTCCATCAAAGCCCACAGGCTGCCCACCTGTGTTATTCCCAATGCCAGACTTAAGGTGGCATATTTTCTCTTAAAAGTATATAGAGGAATACTCTGACATATAAAAAAAAAAGTAAGGCATCCTAAAACTTTAGGGAGGAGAACAGAGAAACTATGTGGAACTCAAAACATTTTCTTAAAAGACACTAAATCACAAAATGGTGACTCACAGGCCATTTTCTCAAAATGTAGCTAAAATATTATATACCAGAACTATCCAACAGACCTTTCTATGATAATGGAAAGGTTCTCTATTGTGCTGTGGCCACTAGCGACATGTGGCTATTGAGCATTTAAAATGTAGTTAGCGCAATCGAGGAACTGAATTTCAAATTTAACTTAAATTCATTTAAATTTATATAGCCATATGTGGATAGTGCTACCATATTGAACAGTGCAGCTATATACTTACATTAGAAAAAAAAAAAAGTAATATAATATTGACACATAGGTAGGAAAAAAGATCACACACTTTTGTTCACCACTGTCGTTAGCACAGAAGTGTAATAAATGGAGAACAGGGAGGTATGTAGAGCATCTGGGACACTGGTCCTCAGGAGCTAGTGTCTCTCTTATCTAGTTTCTCCATCACTTTCCTCTTCCATGATGCCATTTCCACTGGCAATGCTCATGATTATCAGCCTTGATTAAGGTTGGAGTTTTGGTGCAGGAGGCAAGGTAGGAAAGAAAAAAGTTGAGAAAAGGTAATAAAATATATATATGTCTTACAACTTGGGATTGAGAACAGAGGAAATATATGAAAAGAAAAGTAATGTCCTGAGGTGAAATAAACTCAGTTATAAGAAAAAAATGCTTTGAATTTGTTAGATAGCACCCTGCTGATGACCCAGGATGGCTTGTGGCCCATGGCCCTACACGGTCATGCAACATCCTCAGCATAAATGAAACCTAATTGTGCTGGACATGTAACCTGGAGGGTCTGAGTTCATTTATTTATTTATTTTTTGTAAAAGATGACTGGTAAGGGTATCTTAACCCTTGGCTTGGTGTTGTCAGCACCACGCTCAGCCAGTGAGCGAACTGGCCATCCTTATATAGGATCCGAACCCATGGCCTTGGTGTTATCAGCACTGCACTCTCCCGAGTGAGCCACAGGCTGGCCGTCTCTTGAGTTTAGTAAAACTAAGTAGTCCCTAACATTCCAAAGGTGGGCATTACCAGAGGCAAAGAATAGATTTAAGAAAAAAAAAAGTAATACCTACCTTTATTGCTAATTTGGGTTTGACCCAATTCCCCTCAAGGTATTTATCAGCCAATAACTAACATACTCAATTTAAATCAGTACTTTGAAGAAAAGGAATAGCTCCAATATTTCCTTCTTTATGGAGAATTTTTTTAAACCAGGAAATGGCCAGAAACCCTGAGATTCAGATTCCCAACAGGTACTTACCAAAATCTGAAGTTCTTTTTCCAAAGCCTGTTTCACTTGACTGACTTCACTCAAATTTTCCTGCAGGTTAGTAAGCTTTAGCTCTTTCTCCTGGAGTTCTTTGGTAATGCTACTAGCCTAACATACAAAGTTACATGGTATAGAAGCAAATGAACAAAAAGGAAACAAAAAAATGAGAAGGAAAAAATAAATGTAAAAAATGTATGAGAAACAAACATAACAAAACAAAACTGAAAAGAATAAAAAGTTGGAGTTTTTAAAAAATTCTAAGAAGCCAGTGACTTTTTAATCAATCGGTTCTAAAAATGACTGTTTAATGGCGATTTTAAAATAGTCAAGATGGACTATTTTTCTATGCCTAAATTTGGAATATGAGCGTGATCTAAAGTTGAATGGCAGATGCTTACTTTCTAAATGAGCTACTTACTTGAGCAATTTCATTTTCTTGACTTTAAAAACCTTAAGGTAGAAATGGTGGGTACATGTGGTCTATATCATTTTCTGTATTTTTATATATGTTTATAATATTTCAACATTTAAATAAAAATAAAATTTTAAAATCCACTAGATAAGTCATCAGCACTTAAGCTTTCATTAAATCTTGATGTAAAAAAGTAAACCAACCATTAGCTACGTACTCACTTCTAATTAATTTTTGTGTGATTGGTATTGTGGAACCACATGAGGAGATTTGAGAAAAATTTCCTTAATCAGTTTGCCATTTTCAACTATGGTTACTTAGCAACTTTTTGCTGTTTGTCCATTTAACCATCACAACCCTTCCTTCTTTGCCAAGAGAGCAGCTTCTCCCGCAAAAAGCTTAAAACATTCAATATCAGTATCAGCACTTGAACTAGTGGCAGGACTGGGAAAGAATTCCTTGCACAACCCTTAAAAATGAACATGACACGTAACAAGGCTAGTTAGTAAGAAGAGTAGCTGGTGAATATTACATATAATTTCTTATGCCTTGACCAAAAGCATACTTGTTTAGACTTTACTCAAAAAAAGCAGGGGACTGATAGTGTTCTCATTGTGCCATAGAAAAAAATTCCAATAAAACCTGAGTGGCAATCCAAATGGTTCCAGGCCTCTGATCTTAATTTTTCTGTGAATGTTATTTACATAGTCCAGAAGCACTCAGAATTCAGATTCTGTTTTTATACATAACCCTACAGACAAGGCAATTATGTAGATGTTTAAAGAGCAGAAGATCCTGTAAGATTCTATCTTATGTGTTCATTCATTTACCTTAACACCATCATCTTAGGAAGTTCTCTATTTTAGACAGAGATTATAGACTGGAACTAAGCTTAAAGAGGAGGTCATAGCATTAGCTAGAGATAAAGTAATAGACAAAGTGTCCAGATAATAGAAAACCGAAATAAATTCCCATGGTTGAGCCACTATTTTCTCCAATCTCGTCAGATGAAACCATACTCAAGATATTCAGAAGATACTATACTATAGTCAACTGAGAACACCAAGCAATTTGTTTTACTTAAATCAGGAATTTGGAGGACGGATTACCTCAACTAAAAAGTAACATATAATGGAAAATAAGAATAACAAATGGAAAAGAAAAAGATGGAGGATGTCAATACAAACCTTGCCACTTTCAGTATTTTTTTCAATGTCTAAAATTTTAATCTGTTTCTCAGCTGCCTCAAGCTGCTGTCTAAGTTTCTCAATTTCCGATTTACCTTCGGAATTGGCTTTCCGAAGTACATCAAGATCCAAGAGCTTTTCTTCGGTAGCCTTGAGCTGTGATGTAAAATTATCAATAACCTTGGTTTGTTCATTGCATTTGGCTTGCAGTACCTCTAGCTCCTTTACCTTTATTTCAGCTTCCTGTAATTTGTTTAACGTGTCTTCCATTTCTACCAGATGCTGGTCTTCTGCTTTGTCCAGTTTTGATTTGATGGCTTCCAGACTGTTCTCCTTTTCTTTAATGACTTTCATCAGTTTAGCCCTTAGGTCTTCTATCTCTTTAGCATGAGCAGACCTTTCAGAGTCCTGTCTATTCTGCAAATTTTCTATTTCATGCTGATAATCTAATCTCATTTTCTCTATTTGCGTTTTTAACTCAGCAAATTCTGCCGTCTCTGTTCCAATCCCTTTGCTAAAGGATACCTTCAGCTCTTCCATCGCCTGCTGGTGGGACGCAATGGCTGTCTCCAGTTTGGACTTCCATAGAGCTATCACATCTGAATTTTCTTTGTTGGCATGATCAAGCTTGCTTTTCAATGACTCGTTCTCTCTGGAAAGCTTTTCTGTGGCAGCATGAAGAGCCTTTATTTCCTTCTGACGAGTTTCTTCCTGGGCTCCAAAATGTTCTTTCAGAGAAGTTATTTCTCTCTGGTGATCAGTATGGGTGACTTCCAACTTTTCCTGCAAAGCGCTTATCTCTTGCAAAAGGGAAAGCGACATGTCCACATCCCCAGCAGGTTTACTGAACTCTAGCCGCCTTCGGAGCTCAGCTACTTCCTGTACTCTGAACGCTAGGTCTTTTTCTAGTTCCATTATACGCGACTTTTCTGATACCGTAGCCACCTATTAACAGCAGTCCAAAGAGAAAGAGATCACTTAAATAACGAATCATTGATTTTTTTTTTTTTTTAACCCTGAAGAGCTTTAATAACTATCCCATCTCAGGCAGCAGTCAAGCTATTACAAATGTTTGTGGGTTAATATATCTCTAACTGTAATAATGGCTTAAGCACAATTCTGGTAGCTCCAATTCAAAATTATAATCTTCAGCAAACTTCCACCATTTTGAGACACTTAAGGAATCTAAAATAATATTTTTGAATTTAACCCATGCCAAAAATATTTCTTCTTCCTCTAAAGATGCTTAAATCAGGGAGGTACCCATTAACAAAAACAGTGACTTTCAAAGTTCTCAGATATATCTGCTTCCTGGAAGAAAGAGTCCTCCTTACTTAGCCAGTTTTTTCTACCCTACTTCACTAAGGCTGCATAAATGCTTATCCATCTGATGGAAGTGATCTTACAGAAGTCTGCTGCCCCATACCATAGCTATTAACCACAAATGGCTACTGAGCACTTCAAATGTGGCTCAACTGAAGTGAGATGTGCTGTAAGTATAAAAAGACTTAGGAAAAAAACCATAAAATATCTTGTTAATTTTTATATTGATAACATGATAAAATGATAATATTTTGGATATACTGTTTTAAATAAAACATTAAAATTAATTTCACTTGTAACTTACTAAAGTAGGTTAATGTGGGTACTAGAAAATTGTAAAATTATATTCATGTGCCTTGCATTATACATTATACTTCTACTGGATAGCACTGATATACAAGTAAAAGGTCTAAAATTACCTACCAAATGTTTCAATGAATAACACATCACCTGTAGAATAAAAGCCTAAACTGGATAATGAAGAATTAATTTACTAACCTGTTTTCAAAAAAGGCAAAGAATGATTACCTACCTGCAATTATACATAAGAATTTTACAGAGTTCCCCCTTTTGGATTTTATAATTCTATCAGCATTTTGATGTACACATCTTGTTCCCCTAACCCAGTGGTTCTCAGACATTAGCATGTACCCGAATCACCTGGAATATAAGTCTAAAATGCAAGTTCCCAGCTACTCCCCCATATTTTGATTCTATCTCAGCTCTAGGGTAGTACCCAGGAATCTATTCTTTTTAAATAAACATGCCGGTATAGGAAAAACACTTTCTTAACCTGTGTCCTTTTATTTGCAGAAAATTATTCCCCTCTGCCACCTGTTAGGCAGTGAGTTTAGCACACAGAATATGTGGGAAATAGTAGCTTCAGGAATAAAAATTATTTGACTAACCTGGGAAATAGAAGGGAACATGAATAATTTAAAAACAGCAGTGAGTCCCAAATTGCAAGGATCAAAACCCCTCCAAATTTGACTCCTCTCCCACACTACCTTTATTGGGACAGAAAATAACAAATGTGTTTCTTTCATTTCCTCTGCCCACCTACAGGCTGTGATACCAATAAAGACTAAAATGTCCACAAGAGAGGACGAAAAAGCACTTGGGTCTCTAGATTGTGAAATCAAGTCATTAAATATTTCAGAGCTGACTATAATTGCTGTGTACTATAATTGCTATGTTTCAAGACTGTAGATGCTTTAGTTTAAAGACGTTAATTCATTTAAATGCTATTTTCTGGGGGAGGGGAGAGTCCTAGAGTTTGTTACCTCAAAATAAGGTTCAAAACACTAATAAGCCCCATTGCTGTAAGATCTATAGCATAAATAAATTAAATCCAATAGGACAACAGTCCTTAGTCACAACAAAACAGTTAAATTGAGAAAATGCCAGTTTAAAAAAAGTAAAAATAATAATGTGATTATACTTTATGTGACATTTTTATATCAAGTATAACACATATTTTTCATCTTATTTCCAGTTTGCCCACAGTCAAAACTACCTATGTGTCTGCCCCTCCTTCTAGTTTGAGGCCATAAAAGTTAGGAATTATTTCTTATTCTTGCTAATATTTCTACAGCACTAGGCATACTTTATAAACTGGATTTATTGGCTAAAAGGAATTCTAATGTGCTGTGATATGAAACTTACATGGGTCACTGGTAATTTTCACAACTGGCAAACCAACAGTGAAGATCAGTAGAAGACTCAATTTGTTACAGAAAGATATAAGCTTTGATCTGAAACACTTGAATAAAACATGCTATAAATGGATGCCTTCTTATCTAGAGCAAAAAGAAAGCATCAAAGTTGTTTGCTGACAAAACTGAGATATGGGAAAGGAGTTCAGAAGTAAAAACATACCCTTACTTCAACAGCCAGTCACACTAAAGGAACTCTATCTCATTTGTCCCTTGTATTTCCCAGATCAAGTCTTGGGCTCTCAGGTAACAAAGAAACAGCACCAAATTACCACTTTTTTTTTCTGTTTCTTACCAAATACATAGGAGAAATCTTTAGAGATTTTTTGTCTTTTTTTTTGGCAGCTGACTGGTGTGGGGATTCAAACCCGAATTTGGTGTTATAACACTGGGCTCTAACCAACTTAGCTAACCAGCCAGCCCCTAGAAATCTTTAGTTTTGAGGCCTACAGAGAACATTTTCTTTCTTCTAAAAATATAAAAACTTATGATTTAGAAAAGGAAAATTACTCAATTCTCTAGATTTTTAGATCAATGATTCTCTCACCATGAGAAATTTCTACAAATACTAATAATTCAAAAGAAAAAAATCACGATAGCAGACTTGATCAGAGACAGTATTTTTTGAAATTGTGAAGTTAAGGATTTGGGTAATTTAGCCATTGACAGTGAAATTCATGATTTAAAAGGTCTATGTGAATACATATTTTTATATGTAAATAATTCTGATTATTTCCTAAAATCTTTCAGCACAAAACCAGTACTTCCATAATTTAAGTCTCCATCCTGTGGTTATTAAGAGCACAGATTCTGGAGCCAAAAGACCTAGATGCAAATCCTGGCTCCACTATTACTATTAGTTTGCGACCCTGGGCAAGCTGTGACTCACTGTCCTTGTAAAACGGGAACAATAATATACTACCTACCTCCTAGGATTGTGGTGAGACCGAGTGATACTTGCAAAGCACTTAGAACAGTGCTTGGCATGAAGCAAGGACTTAGGCGCTTTGATAGAAAAACAAACTAAAACATTACTAATGCACTGGCTTCAAGAGCCAAACACAGTGAGCTGAGGGTAGTAAGAAGCCGTTTCCCTCCTACCACTGAGACTTTAATCTCCTGGTGACAGAAAGAAGGGAGATGCAAAGAGAGATCAACTATCAGGAAAAAATATAATTGGGGTGAAAGTCCTCAATTCTCATTAAAAAGAGCCAATGTTTCAATTTCCTTCCCCCATGAGGCCAGGGGAAAAGGCAGCTCTCTTAGCTGAAGTAAAACAACGTAACAAAAAATTAGAAAACCCAATAACTATGAATATGAGAACAAGAGGACAATTGACTGCTTGTGGCAAACTGGAGAAAGGTACTTCAAGGTATTACTAATACAATGAACCTCAAATGCAGTTGTGGATATTCATATAGTTTATATAAGTCGTAAAGTTTCTGATCTTGATTTTGGTTGAGTTAACCAAAGGAATGAGTCTTTACCTTTGACAAAAGATTTGATATGATACACATGTGCCTGTCTACCAGCCTAAGCTCATGAACACCTGAACAATATCAAGACCAAAGTCAGGTTGAACCACTGGGTCAAGGTTCAGGCCAACAACAAGGCATGTAACCCGAGGTGTCCACCACTCAACACGCATGGGTCTGCTTCATTAAATAGTGAAAACCATTACCCTAGTGTCTTCTAACTCCCTCTGGAGTTTGTCAGCTTTGGTCTTTTCAAAGAGCAGGCTCTGTTCAAGCTCCTTAATGCGGGCATGCTCCAGTTTGGTCTGCGTCTGTTAGTAAAAAGGAAGAGGAAGAGAACACAACAGTGCCACCATGACATGCCAGCACAAAAGGAGAGAGCGCAGCATGCAGGCTGAGCCACCAGTACCTTCTGCCAAAGGATGAACAAAAAAGACAATGGAGAAGGGAAGAGGATGGAACAAAGATGGGGACATGGGGGTGAGGATGACTGCTACGGACAAAAGGATGGTGGTGGGCAGGGGACATGAGCTAGTCTGTTGAGAAAGAAAAAATGGAAACAACATGAGGCAAGATGAAGTGTCAGACACATGCAGCCAAATATAAGTTATCTTGATAAGTGAAGTTTATCAGCACAAATTAGAATAGTTAATATTTCTCTAAACTATCATTTTCCCTCCTCCCCACAATGGCTATTTGACATTAATGTGTATGTAACTGACTCAATGACCTTAAAAAGTAGTTTGACCTTCAGAATGATCATCACAATCACCTAAATGTGAAAAAGATAACGTTATAAATCTTAAAGTGTTCAATAAGTCCTTAGAGCAGATCCTTCCACTTTGGCACACGATTTGACATGAGCAAAGGTCAAGTATTAACCCTAATAAAGGGAATCCAGAAACTAGAGCTAAGGAAATGACACCAGCAGTCTTTGTTGAGATAGGTGAGAACGGTTTGAGAGTCTCAGCAACATTCTCACATGTGACAGGTGAGGAGCCAAGAAAGCTCTAGTTTCCCAGAAAAAAAAGTAAGAAATCAAAATTTCAAAGAGAAAACTCAGTGATAATTATCCTCCACAGCCTCCATCTCTGAAGCAGGCCAATTAAGAGGCTCAGAGCAGGAGAAAAGGTTAGCTCAAACTGGAAAGGGGCTTATTATTTTTATCCTAAGAAGTAGTTTTTATCAGCTCAGGGTTAAGAAAGGTAAGAAATGGTGACTCAACACAAAGACATGAATTTGAAATCATGGAAAAAGAGCTGGTAAGATCCCAGTGTGATTGAAAACCTCCAAGATCTCACTCTGTACTCCCCATCATCACATACTTAGACATAACCTACTGGGGAACTCAGAAGGTAATCTCTTTCTAACAGGTTTAAGTGCAGCAGAATCTTAATTGATTTGAAATAATCTGGGTACCAGCCTAAATGTACCTCTTAACTCCACCCACCTCTCCTACCCTAGAGGTTAGCAGGATAATCCACTGACAAAACCTACTGATGGAGCTGCTCTCAGCAGCTGCTAGTTACTTGTATTAATTTAAATATTTTGTGGTTCTTACTGGCCTGATCTATCATTTGGATAATTACAGGCAATGAGAAAATGACAACAGACTCTAAACAAAGTGATACAAAGTAGTGCAGAGCTTGAGTAAAAGGTGTAATGTAAAATAAAGGTTACAACTGTCTTCACTCACTCCAGTGGTACTCTGGGGACTTCAGTGCATTTGAGAGGTCACTTTGCTTGTGAACCAGGTATAAACAAACCATTATGGGATACTTAAAAGGTGAACAAAAAATCTTTTTTAAAAAAATTCTTCACCTGCTTCAGCTCTTTACCCTCCACAAAAATAATGAAATAAAATTCAAACTCTCATTGTCTGGATAGTCCCCTTGGTCCACATGTGCCTTAGAAGTTGTTCAATTTACCTGCTTTTACAAGTAAAGAATCTAATTCAGATGTACATAATTGGAGTCACAGCCTCAGGAACTGTAATTGAAAACTAATAGGAAAAAGCAAAAGGCAACGGAACCTTTCTTCTCTTGACACTGAGTTAAGTGTCCTCTGGATGAAAGGTCACTACTTCAAGATAAAAAGCAAATGTCCACTTAATGTGATCTTCTCCCCATTCAGAGATCTTCCAGATGAGCGCAGCAACGCCTCCTTAGTGGTAGGTATGCACACAAATGATTTGAGGCTCTACAGTGGCATGTGGTCAATCCGCAGCCAGGGAACTAGTGGTCCACTTCCCTGCCATAGCACACAGTGAAAACGTGACACTGAACAGGACAACCCTCCTTTTAAAATTATTCCTTTTTCAGAGTAAGACACAGAGTATCCCAAGAGGAAAGTCCTGGGACATAGGGTTGAGGAGGAAAGCAAAGGCTTTGCGAGAAGCGCACAGAGAGGCAGGAGGGAGATCCCATGCACACTGACACCGGGTGCAGCGGGGCCTGTTGTGGAAGGAGAGAAGAGACCCAGATCACTGAAGTAGCTTCACAAAAAGGAACCCGTCAGAACGAGGACCTTTCAAAAAGTTCAGTCTTGAGTTGTCTGTTTCAGCTGCCAGGAGGTAGTAGGAAGAAAAGTAATTCCTGGTTTTAATTTTGTTCTCTTGTGGTAGTAAATCAAAGCAAAAAGTATGCGGGTTCTTTGCGATTGGAATCACAGCTGGCAGGGTGCACCAAGAAGCAATGTTCTTGAGGCCACTTTGGTAAGATTTGTATTGGATGTTTGATCTTAATCAGAGGGAGGAAGAAAAAGAAAAACACCTACATGCCTAGCAGCACTGCTACTAGAAAAATCTCACCGCAATAGTAATAAATTTAAAACACACAGTGTCTTCACTGAGGAATGCTCACCTCTCATTTTACAAACCAGGGAAAATACTGCAGCAACAAAATGAAAGTTTTTATTTCTTGTCAGTTGCACTGGCAGTCCCTGGCCAGCAGAGGGAACACACATAAAAGGCAATCAGTGCTGGGAATCTCACAATTCCCTTTTCTCTCATGAGAAGTAAAAATTAGACAACTTGGGAAACTTTCACCAGAATTTCTACAACTCCATCTAATATATTTTACACTGCAGTCAGCTATCATCTTCTTCAGAATAAAATTAGAAGACGTTATGAATTAGGTGAAGGAGGCCAGGCCTCCAGACAAAATTCGTTTTTTCACCCTTTTAGCAAGATTCTTTATAAAGCAAACATTTGCCTATTCATTAAACAAATGAATTTACAGAGCTTAGTCATTACATACAATTTCTCCAGGATACAAATGTAATTGCTTTGAAAGCCACATGCACAGAAATATTAAGGCCAATGTCCCAAGGTCAGATTATGTAGTTAGTATTTGAGTATATCAATAAGCATTTTAATCTGTAATCAATCTGTGTTAACAAGGGAAATATCCACACAGTTAAGTGCCCTCTTACATTCTCAGGATCTTCAGAAATCTGGCTCTTTTGCTATCAGTAAAAAAATAAAAAAATTAAACAACAACAAAAAAGATTCATCTAAATTTTCAATATGTTAGGGTTTCAAGATAACTTTGATTAATTTCAAATAAGTGCATCAGATCAATTATACTAGCCTAGCGCTGATGTAAATATTTTAACTCAACCCTCCCCCAAACACCATACACTATATATATATTTCATATGAATTAGATGATGATATGAAACTCCTAAATGAGATTTTGGAGTGTTTTTAAATGGATGAGAACACAAAAGTCGACTAAAGGAATGTGACTGTATATGAAATGAGTGAAGAAGATATCCATTAAATAACTAATAAACCATTAAATTTGGGGATCTATAAAACTCAAACTCAGAAAATGTTCCCCTTACTCTATGTTGACTGTAAAGATACATTTATTTCCAAATAAATCAGAGTTCCTACTTGGAAGGGCCCCTGAAATTGACACATGGTGTGGACAGTCAACAGACTCTGAAATTGTAATGGCAGCAAAAATGTGTAGTCTGAAAACTACGCAGATAAGTGCAATTTTTGCTAAAATATTACAGATTAAAGAACCAAAAACCTGCAAAATTTGAAAGTTAATTTACATTGTCATATATCTAGCAGTGGTTTGAAAAGCATCAAAACCATTTAATTCTGGTGTCTAATTCAAAAACCAATATAATTGTTAAGAGATGAGAAAACAGACATTAAACGAAAATTTCTATAAACTGTAAATATGCCATAGAAGTAAAAGAAGTTGAAATATAAATTGCTCTTGTTTTTTGCTCTGGTTATTACTTTTTTAAAAAATCAACTGGTTAGAGTATGGTGTTGTAACATCAAGGTTGAGTGTTCAGATCCCTTTACCTGACAGCTGCCCCCAAAAAAATTAACTGTTAGAACATATAATTTATTCCTTTTACAGAGTTATAAAGGATTTATCCAGGTGGCCAGTTAGCTCAGTTGATTAGACCATGGTGCTAATAACACCAACGTCCAGGGTTTGATCCCTGTACCAGCCAGCCATGAAAAAAACAGGATTTATCTTGCTTACCTGAAAAGCAAAGCTGAGATAAAGCAAAAAGCTTTTATGGATGTTTTATGGACTACTATGAAGAATAAAAAAATGTTCTTTAAAAATGCCATTTCTTTTCTTTTTTTTTTTTTCTTTCCTTTTTTTGTCTTTTTTACTGACCGGTAACGGGATCGCAACCCTCGGTGTCGAGCCCGTACCGGGGACCAGCAACGGGATCACAACCCTCGGTGTTGCGCCCGCACTGCACTCAGCCAGTGAGCGGGAACTGGTCTCCACATGGGATCCAAACCCTCGGCGGGAGCGCCGCCACACTCCCAAGTGGCGCACTCTCCAGTGCGCCACTGGGCCAGCCCAAAAATACCATTTCTAATAATCAGAGGAACATATACGTGTCTCACTTAAGTCTGCTTTAAATTGAGGACACACTGCCAGATTTATGACTTGATGAAATCCAATCCATGGTTTTGAATTTTGAAGCATGAGAAAAAAAGAAGTGAAATTTTTACTCTGCCACAGGAATTAGGACGCCACAATCACAGGCTCAAGGACTGTCAACCATCCCCTCAGCCATAAAGCTATGCCCACACCCCAAGTTGGTCAGGGAGTATGGCACTCCTGCCACTCTCCCATCCAACTGTTCCAGCCATACATGTTAGCTGGCAAACATTTGCCTATTCATTAAACAAATGAATTTACAGAGCTTAGTCATTACATACAATTTCTCCCATATTTCTGAATACTGGTACCCATGAAAGCTTTAGGTGGAGGGGTTTTACCTCAAGATCGCCTTTGGTAATTGATTCTTCTTCAACCCGAAACTGAAGGTCCTCAACCTTCCTGTGGAATAAAACCAAAACAAAGCACTTAAGAAAGTAACTAAGGAACACTGCCTTAACAACAAAAAAATATATAATCAATAACCTGGTGAATTTAGCAGATGATGATGATGGAAAGAAATGCATCTTTAGGCCTCCAGTTTATAAACCTAAGAGCTGTACTCTAATTATTTAGGAAACTCTAAAGTGTTTATTCAGGTACTAATTCCAGAAGGCCTGAGGTAAGATTTGAGAAAAATCAACTGGTTCCCTTAGTCAAAAACACCAGAATGGATCTAATCAAGACAAGACCAGCCTCAATGGAAAACATCTCATTACTATATAAATAGGTTTGAGATTTCAAGTCTAGAATTTCTACTTTCCTGTAACAGAACATAAGGGGGAGTGGCACAGAAAACAAATCTCTCTTTATATCACCCCACATCAGATATTTTAGGGCAAGGTCAGCAGGCTTCTCATGAAATTTTAAAGCCTCCAGGACAATACCTGCACTTACTCCAAGACTGGGAAATAGCCTGTGAATGATTCGGGGGAGAAACAATCAAGGATCCTATTTCTTTTTTTCTAAAATGCACATTTTCTCACATTTCAAAATCTGCCATATTGGGTGTGGGTTTCAGTCAATACCATCATAAAGTCAACAGAATATAATGACATTCTGAAAATTTACAAAATCCAGTAACTTCTACATTATGAATCTTGGGCTGGAGGGTTAGCTCAGTTGGTTACACCACAGCCTTGTAACACCAAGGTCAAGGGTTTGGATCCCCATACTGGCCAGCCACCAAAAAAAATATTATTTCTCTGTATGAGTCTATACAAAATTGGGTGTAAGAGAAGGAAGAAAAGGGGGACAAAGCTCATGACCTATGTGCAAAACAAAATCCTTCAAACTCCCTAGCATTTCTAGCAAAATTAAGAGTAAACAATCTTACTCAGTTAAGTGGCAAATATAACCATAGGTTAAAGCTCTCAGGCTTACTTGAGAATTGGGGGACATTTCTACTGCCCAGCAATCTGCAGATTAAGAACCAGCTTAAGAACAGAAGCAAATGGTACTGGGGTCATGGCATTCAGAAGGGCCTAGAAGGGGCTATCATTAACTCTTGTTTACTTGTAGTCACTTTTTGGATGCAAGAAGTTCCTATGTATAGTGCTTCCCTCTCCATTGGGAAAGTAATTTCCTTGGTAAGAGACTATATTGTACCTTCACTGTATCCCCTTACTCCAACAGTGCAAACATGACCTTCCTGAGCACACAGTAATACTAGATTACTACCAAATGAAGTTGCTGCTATCAGAAACAGAAGATGGTATTAAATCCATCAGAGGACAATCTTCACATATAACTGAGGGATGTTCAAATAAATGGTTTCCATGCACTTTTTTCAGAGATCTTGTTTGTTCATGGCCTGAAGAAACCTCCTTTTATAAGAACCAAACTTGACTTCTCTGTCTTATACCATTTAGCATTTGATTGATACTAACCTGAATAATTCCCTAATTGTTTCACATGTGAGAGTTTTGTTTCCCTAATAAGGTACAGAGTTTCTCAAGAACAGGGACCCTATATCACCCACAAGACATAATACAATTTCATAAAAACTAGGTAACTAGGACCTAGAATATCCTCTCACCAGGAATGGCTCCAAGTGAAAACTGGGTTGGAATTATCTCCACAACACTGACCAAGGCTATCCTCAAGATGTTTGGCATGCAGTAGGTGCTCAATAAATATCTGTTAAATTAATCAGGCCATGTCTAAGTTTGATTCCAAACTTCAAGAAAAAAGTCAAGTCAAAGCAAACCCTCTTCATACAGTATGAGGAGTTGTTTCTGTGGAACGCATGGTCATTCCTTTGGTTCTAAGGGTTGACACCAACAAGGTTGTTAATAGGAAATTTTTCCCTGAGACTGTTTAAAAGCAAAGGCCACACTCGCACAGGGAACAGTCTGGGATCACCTTTTCTCCTCTTCAAGTTGGTTGAGAAGCTCCACCTTCTCCCTGTCAGCCGCTTCCACCATTGTTCGCAGCTGGTCCATCTTGGCCTCCATTTCCAGGACATGCTGGGGACGGCAAGGATATCAGTGAGTGGCTTCTTTCTGACCCAGACACAGGTTCAGGGACACCTCCAAAGAGCTATGGGGAAGCATTAATTACCAAGGTGGTTTGGAACTACTCTAAAACCTGTCACGTTAAGATGCTTTCTATCTTAATTGGTTATTCTCGGCAGCTTTCCTGGAAGCTAGATGATGAAAAACTACACCATCGAAGCAATAGAGGGCAATGTTAAAACAACTCTCGTCTTTTTTGAGGCTGAAACACATACAAAGAATAATCAAGAGTTGTAATCACGGGTAAGGTCTGAGTCAACTAGCTGGCCTAACAAGCCACGAGACCTTGACATCAAGACCAAAAGACTAAAGTAAAATCGAGAAGAACGAAACTTCATCTTTCTGATGATGAAACTGGTACCCCAGGTCACAGCTATCAAACAAGCCCAGCAAAGAAATTTACACTCGTTTCCAGCGCTCTCAAGACTAGCTCCCCAGTGTGGGCCTCATCGCTCTATTTAGAAACGATCACCATCTCTGCAGCAAGTTCAGCACCAGACTTCACCTGGTCGTGTCCGTCCCGGGCCAGCGCTAGCTCCTGCTCTATCTCCCCCACGTGGCTCGTGGCCTTGGCCACCTCCGCCCTTTCTAGATCCCGTTCAGCCAGCAGCTGCTCAATGTGCTGCTGCTTCTCCTTCAGTGCCTCCTGGAGGGCAGTGGTGCCGGAGATCTTCCTGGCGTAACGGGAGGAGGTTTCAGTCAACTGCAAAGGAAAGTTAAAGAAGTGAAGGCTAGGATGCTACCAGGGAAGCAAGGAGGGAGCGGAGCATGCATGGCAGGTGTCTCCTCAGCAAAGCAAGAGTGCTGCCCAGCTCATAGCTTGCCAAGTATCTGGAAAGGCTTCTCATCAAGAAAACAGAACAGCTGTGCCTCCTGTCTGGAAGTCTCACAAAGAACACATCAATGTAAAGAGGTCACAGAACAGTCAGGAAGTTGTTTAGAAGGAGATTAAGTGGCTCAGATCACAGGTAATCTGAGCTCAGTTGACAGGGCCTTGCAGGAATCTAGAAAAATTCCACAGAACACATTTAACAAGTGTCTCTAAACTCTATTTCAGCCCGAGCTTAATAGTTCTTGTTATTACATTTTGGCCAATCTTTTGATCCTTAGACTTGACGATGAGACTTCTTCAAGCTTCTTAAGCTTGTAAATACCATTAAGTAATGAAGAGGTCACCATCAGTGTAACAAACCTTCTTTCAATTGATTAAAGAGTTGGATCTTTATCAGGATTTTCTTCATCTTTCTTTTAAAATGAAAGGCATGAGAGATCTCACCCAAGAATCCAGTCTTCAGGACCTGAACCCCAATCACCAGAGAGATTTCTAAAGATTAAGAAAAAACTATTTCTGCCTTCAAAAGTGTGAGTGAGCGAGTGTGTGCATGTCTGGGCATGTACACACACTAGAGAAAGGAAGAAAAAGGAGATGGGAAGAGAGGAAAAAAAGAAGGGAAAGAGAAATTTTTTTTTTTTTCCTTTTTGTCTTTTTTCGTGACCGGCAACGGATCACAACCCTCAGTGTCGGGCCCGTACCGGACCAGGACCGGCAACGGAATCGCACCCCTCGGCGCTGCCCCCGCGCCTCGCTCAGCCAGTGAGCAGGAACCGGTCTGTATATGGGATCCGAACCCTCGGCGGGAGCGCCACCACGCTCCCAAGCAGCGCACTGTAGCAGTGCGCCACCGGGCCGGCCCGGGAAAGAGAAATTTTTTTTTTTTTCCTTTTTGTCTTTTTTCGTGACCGGCAACGGATCACAACCCTCAGTGTCGTGCCCGTACCGGACCAGGACCGGCAACGGAATCGCAACCCTCGGCGCTGCCCCCGCGCCTCGCTCAGCCAGTGAGCAGGAACCGGTCTGTATATGGGATCCGAACCCTCGGCGGGAGCGCCACCACGCTCCCAAGCAGCGCACTGTAGCAGTGCGCCACCGGGCCGGCCCGGGAAAGAGAAATTTGTAGAGAAAAAAAGTAGGGAAAAAGGGGAGAAGAAGGAGAAAAAGGGTGGAGAGAGAAGAGGGAGAAAGGGAGAAATGAGGGGGAAGAAAGAGACAGCGAGGGGGTTCTGGGGTGTTCAAGAAAGAATGTGCTATTTCTGTCATCCATTATCTTGGCTGTTACTCATGCCAAATTCCTCCATCTTGAAGCTGTCAAATAAAAACCTGGAGAAAACTTTCTTTTAAATGTTAACAGGTAGGGCCGAACCTGTGGCACCCTCGGGAGAGTGCGGTGCTGGGAGCGCAGCAGCACTCCCGCCGCGGGTTCGGATCCTATATAGGGATGACCGGTGAGCTCACAGCGCTCACTGGCTGAGCGCGGTGCGGCCGGTCTCAAAAAGGACAAAAATAAATAAATAAATAAATAAATGTTAACAGGTAATCAGGCAAGTTGAAGAATATTCTTCCAAGCTAGGCTCCAAGTTTGGGAGGCAGTTAAGAAATGGCCTCATCCTTTGGCAAGCACTTGCCCAAAGCCATTTACTTAGCCAGCACTGGCTCCAGATCAATTCAGCCTTTCCTCCATCTGTAATCACAGCTTCATTTGTCACCTGAATACTCTTCTCTTAGTCTATCTGAGCCTTCGTGGTAGGATGCAGACTTCCAGTGATAATCTTTCATCAATTAATAATTCAGCAATTTGGTAACTATGGAAGTAAAGGAATCCAATCAAACCCAGATTATCCTTTGCTGTTTCATTTAGTGAAAATTTTTTTTTTTTTTTAAAGATGACCGGTAAGGGGATCTTAACCCTTGACTTGGTGTTGTCAGCACCACGCTCACCCAGTGAGCAACCGGCCATCCCTATATGGGATCCGAACCCGTGGCCTTGGTGTTATCAGCACTACACTCTCCCGAGTGAGCCACAGGCTGGCCCAGTGAAATTTCTTGAATTACTTAAACATATCGGGGGAAAATTTCCTGTCTTCTCTTTTAACCACTTGACCCTGAGTTCTTGATTTCATTATATAAATAGATTATATTTTCTCTTACTAACATTTCTTCTTACATACATTAAATATGAGGTTTCCAAATGATGAGCAGAGATGCCCCAGGTTCCCCAGCAAATTCACAGCTCTGTGGGATGTTTTAAAATTTCAAGGGAAACATAGCGACATCTGTTGGATACCATAAAAATTCCTAGCTTAAGGCAATTAGATCATACTACATTCCTTACAATAACATCATGTCTTTGCAAAGCTGGGTTTTGGCTACTGCCGTGACAAAAAGCAAGTACTGTGCAAAAATCAATGTAGCATAGGAAATGAGGATGGCAATGATAAATACAATTCCGAGGTTTGACAAGACATGCAGTGCCCAACAGGAGCATACACCTTAACAGTAAGTCATTGTGGTTACTGAAGAATGAATAAAAAATATTTTTCTTTCAATTTCTGTATTTCTCAGACAGAAATAGACTCTGAGCAATATGATTGAAATGACATTTTCAATTATTCTGTATCCTTGTCATATTCTTTTACGATGATTTTTGGTTTAGAAACTATAACCACCCTGTATAAAGACACACAAAGATAAGCTGTCCAACAGACAAGGAGCTTCATCTGTCTTGTCAACTTTCTTCACTGAATGAGGTGAGCTAAGAGGAATCAGAAACTGTCTGAAAAGTAAGAGAGAATGCTGGGAGCAGAAAGAGCTTGGTATTTCCCAAAGAAATGGACACTTACAAGGTAATAAAAATTACCCAAGAATGAATTCCTAATCCAGAGACAACACTTCCATGGAATTGTTCCTAGAACAGCAGAGTAGATAAAATGTCCACATTAGAGTTTGCTAATCCACTGTGAACAAGGCTTTGTCCAAACAAAGAGGTTTGGGTTTTTTCACCTCCATTTCATTGTTCTTGCCATGCTTTCCTCATAAAATCCATTCGTAATATTTCTGTTGAAGATGCAGACTTTTTTTTTTTTTTTTTTTTTTTAAGCCTACAGCACCTGTATTCCCATCCAAGTACTAACCAGGCCCAACCCTGCTTAAGCTTCCAAGATCAGACGAGATGTGGTGCATTCAGGGTGGTACAGCAGTAGACCTGACTTTCTTTTCATATAGAAACTGAAACAGTCCAAACGGTATTTATTTTACCTGAACGTAAGAGAAAGAAAATCCACCTGGCTAGCAGAAGAGCACAACCCCCACTTAAAGATTCCACCGCCCTTCCTTTCTCTGCATGACAACAAAGTAGAAAAGGCAAAACGAGAGCAAGGGCTGGCAACCCTACTCCCTGGATCACACCACTCAGCATTCTAACCCCTGCCCATAGTTCACTGTCACAGAGCAGAGATCCCGAATTCAGTGTGGAGTAGACTCGTATGTTACCACTTCTAATTTAAACATCATTTGCCTCAATCAAGTAAATCAACTTAGGGGTAGGGGATGAGGCCAAAATACTCATTGCTTTTGACCCTAATAAAATACATTAACAAACAGAATGCCTATTTTAATTCTGATGATTCTATTTTTACTGCTCTAGATGGAAAAAAGAGGGAGAGAGGGAGACAGGGAGAGTTACCGGGAGAATAAGATGAAAAGAAGAGAGGAAACAAAACATGGCTTTTCCTAGCAACCTTTCAAGTTCCAGAAGCTCCCCTCTGCATCCTCTGGCTCAAATCAGGAACATACCACACATTAACTGCTTTCAGTGGGTTTAGACTGTATTAATATAATGTTAAAAATCTAAGAACATGCCTTTTCCCCAAACACTATAATTCCTAAAATTGTTTGAAGTCAAAGACAAAGAGACCTACATATCTAAAGAACAGGATCTCTCCAATTTCCTGTCGTTTTGGCCCAAAATTATTTCAGAAAAAAAGAATTCAACCCATATGTTAGGCTAAGCAGTTCACCAAGAACCGGTACATTGTTCAGCCTTTAATAATCTGAAAAAGGCTATTAAAAACCCATTCCTATTTCAAAAACTGTATTCTTGCTGGAGTTACATTTTTCAAAGCTTACTTGCAAGGACTTTCACGGCAAGCTACAGCCAGTACAAGGACAAGCAAAGCAAGTGGACCGACAGCAGGCATTTCTCGTGCCTGGGAAGTAAAGGCATGTAACAAGAAAAGGGAGGCTTACTAATCCTGTCCGACTGGGCTTACTGCTCACAGAGGATGCCACCGAGCTCATGGAGCTGAGGGAGGAGGCGGAAGGGCTGCGCTTCAGGCTGGCAGGTGTGGTCGCCATCACTCGCCGCACAGCGGCGGCCTTGGCTTTGGCTGGTGTGGTGGAAGGGAAGCCAATCTTGGTCACTTTGTGGACAGGAGCAAACAAGCCATATTTGGGTTGACACTGAAAATACCTTTAGACAACAACAAAAAACTGAATTACAAGAAATAACAACTATAAACAAACAGCTCTTCCAACTCATAACTTGTGATTGGTTTGCTGGGAATTCTACCACTAAGCTGAGGTTATATACCAGCAAGTATCATTCACATGTGTGCAGGCTGATAAATAACCTCAATGATGTTTTAGAAAACACACTAATAACAATATGATACACAGAGATGGGATTAATCATCTGTTGCTGAGGTTTCATTCAAAGGGAATAAATATTTCTACCATCTGATAAATGTACAGCAGAGGAGTTCAGCATATAGTGATCCCACTTAATAAAACCATTCCAAACAAAGGGAGAAAGAATCAAACAAGCACCCAGCTCTGGCAGATCCACTACAATAAACATGGAGAAATATTAACTAGTAGTGTCAGTTATCAAACTGACACCAGAGATCTTATGACTCTCAAGGATTACAATGTTTTAATATCAAGGGATGGCTTCATAATCATTGTAGCACCAAGAGATTTTTATCTCTCCAAGTCATTATTATTGTATTTGGTAGATAAAGCCCACATGCTTATAATCAATTTGTGTATGTTTTATAAGTAAAACTTTAATTACAAGACTTTAACAATCAAGTGATGCATTAATATGCTGTATACTATTAATAATAGTGCATCATATATCAGGGCCATGCCCAAAGCCTTCAAAACATTTTGAAAAAGAGTGTGGGAAATGCCTCTTGCATTCATGTGCATTATCTGACTCCCATCCTGTATCTGGGAGGCAAGAATGGCATCATCCTTACAATGGAAGAGGTATGCTTGCCAGTCTGTCCTCATGCCACAGGATGGAATTGTTATCAGACAGGAAGACAGTCTGCAGTTCTTTTTCTAACAAAGGCAGCTATCTCCTACCCATACCCCCATGCCTGGACACCTGACCCCCTACCCCAACCACTGGAACTCACACCCAGGAACTCTTTCAGAGGTTGACTGCTATCAAAAGGAGAGAAGCCAAAAGGGTAACATATTTCCTGTTTTGAAAAATAAACCAAATGCTTATTCATAATCTGCTCAGATGTACAGTTGGGCCCTCTCCATCCGTGGATTCCACATCCACAGATTCAACTAACAACAGATCAAAAATATTTTTAAAAGCAATAATAATAAAAAATAATACAGCAATAAAATACAAATTAAAAAAATACAGTGTACAACTATTTACATAGCATTTACATTGTATTAGGTGTCATAAATAATCTAGAGATGATTTAAAGTATACGGAAGGATGAGTGTAGGTTATATGCAAATATTATGCCATTTTATATAAAGGACTTGAGCATCTGCGGACTTTAGTATCTGTGGGGGTCCTGAAACCAATCCACCATGGACACCAAGGGATGACTGTATTATACATATTACTAAAGAGACAAGAGAACAACTCTAATTATAGTGGGGGGAAAAAACCATAGACAGGTCTTAGATAATAAAAGTGCACCTCTTCAAAACATTCATTTCTATTTTTATGCACATTTGGTGAGATGTGTGTGAGCATCTTCACGTACAAGAGGAAGACAAGATGTTCCACAATTCCAAACAAACCTTGTTCCAGCAACGGCACCATCGTTCTTTCCAAGAGGTTCATCTAACTCCACACCACACCATTCCCCTTTGGCAAAGTCCGTTTCCCCAAGAAACCGGACTACACCAGCCTTAGTGCCACCAACCTAGAAGAAGAGAAGGTTAAAGTGAAAAGATGAACATAATTCTACATCTTAATCCTTTGTGGTTCCAGCTAATAAGTCACTACTGCATTCCATTATTTCCATCAGGGGCTTCTTTACTTTACCTTCTCTCATTTTAGAGTTCTTTTGAAGAAAGATCGGTAACTACCTGGGTGACTTACAGTATCATTCTATACCTGATATAGTCCAAAAATGAAAAGCCTATGTAATATGTAGTCATTAAGGCTCTCCACCAAACTTCCTTCCTTAGATAGTTTACAAATCCAGAATGATTTTCCTGCTTCAAGATAAATATTTACTACAAAAATAAAATTCTTACATCATTAAAGGAAAACAAAATTCATCCATAATCCCTATTCTTTAACACCTGGTGTATTTTCTCATACTTCCTTTACATCTATATCCATAGAAAGCAATAACACATACATATTAAGGACAAATATCCACACATCTATACAACACAGTTGATTTTAGCCTCTCTTAATGTATGGCATATAAAAATTTAAGTACTTTGAAATAATTGACTGTACTGATATTTTCTACTGTGAGGCTCTCTGTTTCTTCACAACTATTAAAATTGCCATTCTTCACATTTTATTTTATATGAACTGTTCAAAGCTACGTCTTTTTTTTTTTTTTCCTTTTTGTCTTTTTTCGTGTCCGGCAACGGATCGCAACCCTCAGTGTCGCGCCCGGACCGGACCGGGACCGGCAACGGAATCACAACCCTTGGTGCTACGCCCACACCTCGCTCAGCCAGTGAGCGGGAACCGGTCTGTATGTGGGATCCGAACCCTCGGCGGGAGCGCTACCGCGCTCCCAAGCGGCGCACTGTAGCAGTGCGCCACCGGGCCGGCCCAAAGCTACGTCTTTTTTAATGTTTAACTTTCTGTCCCAGCCACTGTTAGATACAATGTGCAAATGTTAATTATTCTCCAAAATTATCCCATCAGTGTATATTCTCTCTTATGTGTACATGAAAACACACAGATGTGTTTGAGTCTTTCTAGGGGTTCAAAAGTTCAATATTTGTGCTGCTGCCACAGAATTTCAATTATTGCTCCTTTAAAATCTGTATCGTATTTGCTAGCACTGGTTTCCCTTACTACTGTACTTCTTCAGAATATTCATTGATTTTATTTTTCTAAGCTTCTTTTTTCTTGCTTTCTTTTTTTAAAGTTTCCCTAATTATAAAAGAGATGATCACTGCAGGAAATTAAGAACATTAAAAGCAAAAACATCAATGTAACACTCAGAGACAATCACTGCTGACATTTTGGTTCATTTTCCCTTCCATGGTATGGTGGCTGTTGAGTATTCCACAATACAGATGTACTGTTAAGTATTCCACAGTACAGATGTACCACAATATACGATGTACCCATTTTTCTTTCAGAATGTTCACCTTCTTCTTAACGATTTAAAAAACTCTAATAGAGAGAGTTAAATGGGCAATATATTTTCATGGTTCAAAAAATTCTCAATATTGGGCTGGCCCGGTGGTGCACTCGGTAGAGTGCGGCGCTTGGGATCACGGCGGCGCTCCCGCCGAGGGTTCGGATCCCATATAGAGACCAGTCCGCTCACTGGTTGAGCGCGGTGCGGGCGTGACACCGAGGGTTGCGATCCCGTTACCAGTCACGAAAAAAGATAAAAAGGAAAAAAAAAATTCTCAATATCAACATGTACAGCATGAAGAGACTCCCTTACTAATTGCTTTCCCTATCTGCCCCATTCCCACCATCACAGGTAACCACTCTTCCTTTTTTTTGAAGGTCCAATCAGTTGAATAACCACTATTCTTGATTGTGAGAGTATCCTTACTCCTAGTATTTCTTTATGAATATAAAAGCAAATGTTAACTTTTATTTTTATTAAATCCTTTTATTTTTACACAAAAGCCAGTGTACTACATGTACTGTTCTGTATTTTGCTTTTTTCCCTATCAAAACATAATAAAAATCCTTTTTTGTTTTTACTGTTGCATGTCTTTCTACTGAATGGATGTATTCTAGTTACTAAATCAGCCCCTCCTGATAGGTGTTTTAGGTCAAGCAGATTTGTTTATTATTTATTTAATAAATTAAAAAATAATTTTGGCTAATTCTTAAAAAAATACAATCTAATGGGGTTATGTTAAATATAGATTACCTTTGGAAGGTAATTTATCTATTTTATTGGTCTTTACAATGAACCAGCTTTGGGATTTTTCCCTTTTGTTTTCTATGTTCTCTTTTTATCTTTTTCCTTGTTCCCACTTCCTTTCAAGTTTATTGTTCTTTTCTTCCTAATTTCCTAAGACCAATATTAAGTTTATTTTTAGTCTTTCTTTTCAATACTAAAAGCATTTGTTTATTACTTTTCTCTGAATATAACTATCAGTTTGGAATAACTCTGGGTTTGTTTTTTTTCCAGCTCTCTTATTTCTTTGTTAAAGCTTCAAGGCTATACTATTTCTCTAAAAGAAAAACTTTCTTTGTGAAATTAGTTTAAGGAACCAAAGAGGTGGCGATTTCAAGGTAGTGTAGGTAGGAAGGGCATGTGAAAGGCCCATGAGAGGTGATAGAGGGCAGGCAGCTCCAGGATATTTCAGAAATGTCCTGGTGCCATGACAGGCTGGAGTTTGAGGATAGAGAAATCTCCATGGGCAGGAGCTCTGCTGTGTCATAAATGCCACTTGCAATGCCAGCAGAGCACAGAGCAGACCCTAAACAAACATGTGCTAAGCAAATGAAAGGTGACCTTCTCGGTCTGGACTGACATAGAAAAGGCCACTTTTCCATGTAAACAAAGTTTAAAAAAAAGATATCCCATGGCTGAGATTGAATCTGTTGTCTCTGAAGTGAGCAAAAGAAGAAATATGCTAATAAAGAGCATGGGCTTAAAATTTCCAACTTTTGAATTCAAGTGCCAGCTTTATCTACTGATTGGTCAAGTTATTCAATTTCCAAGTCTCAGTTTCCTCATTAGTAAAATGGGGATAATTATAGGATTGTCATGAGGATTAAATGAGATAATCCACATAAAATTGCTTAGCACAGTGTCTGACAGATAATGGAAGAGCCCAATCAATGTATGTCAGCAGCTAGTTTGCCCATACTAAGAAGAGTACTAGTTCTAGATTTGGCACATTTGACTTTTTAGTACTCTTGCTGGTATTCATGAAATCTATAAATAAGTCAACTATATAAAATTGACCTCAGTTTTCTCCTTCCTCCTACAACGCACCCTTCAGAGCAGCAGTCCAACTCTCATCACATGAGCAGAGCACAACACATTAGTTAAGGATGACGCAATCTCTTCAAATAATCTGCTGAATTCTTTGGGGGTAAGTCTAAGTTACCATCATGACCATTGTTTTCCCAAGAGATGTCTAACAGGCTGTGGTCAGTAATTCCCCAAGCAAACCACAGGCTTCATTCAGATCAGCTTTATAAAAAATAATCACAAATAACAGATAAGCCACTATTTCTCAAATTGCATCTGTCATATTCTAAATTAAACAACTTATTTTAAAAAGTAAACATGGTTAATTGGTATTTATCAAATACAAATTTAACCCTCACTTAAAACTTAATCACCTGTGAAATGAAAGAGCCAGAATAGGTACTTTATACTACCTCGAGTAATACAATTACCTCAAACAGAGAGCCAGTCCAGATAGCTCTACTGTGCAACTCTCCTATGGTGAAAGGTAAAACCTTCATTCCCCAGTTTTTACCCCATTTGCCCTAATTCTACCTCTTGTTTACCTACTTTACAGTTTATTCCTCCACTTCAAGGGTATAATGTGACAACCATGCTCAAAATCCTATGATTCTTTGTAGGGAGTTCATTTAGTTTGTAATGAACTCGCCAGGTAGATGACGAACAAATGCCCAATATAAGTGCAATATAAGAGCCACAATCTGGGCCGGCCCGGTGGCGCACTGCTACAGTGCGCCGCTTGTGAGCGCGGTGGCGCTCCCCCCGAGGGTTCGGATCCCACGTACAGACCGGCCGCTCACTGGCTGAGCGAGGTGCAGGTGCGACATGGAGGGTTGCGGTCCCGTTGCCGGTCCCGGTCCGGTACGGGCGCAACACTGAGGGTTGCAATCCGTTGCCGGACACGAAAAAAGACAAAAAGGAAAAAAATAAAATAAAAATAAGAGCCACAATCAGGCTCACAGGATTGGGGGTTCTAAGTCACAGTTAAGAGGATTGAGAAAAATAGAAGAAATCAAATTATTAGAAAGGGCATAGAGTTGGCATTCTGTATCTGTGGGTTCTGCATTAGTGGATTCAACCAACTGTGGATCAAAAATACTAAGAACAAAAAGTAAGGTTCACTGTGTCTCTACTAAACACATACAGACCTTTTTTCTCGTCATTATTCTCTAAGCAAATATAGTATGGCAACTATTTACACCTCATTTACATTGAATTAGGTATTATAAGTAATCTAGAGATGATTTAAAGTACACGGGAGGAAGTGCATAGATTATATGCAAATACTATGCCATGTCATATTAAGGACTTGATTATCCATGGATTTTGGTATCTCTGAGGGGCCCTGGAACCAATTCCCCATGGATACCGAGGGGCAACTGTACTTGCATACTGTTTGTGGGAACATAAAATGTTAAAGGCTTTTTAGATTGCAATTTGACAACACAGTACAATTTAAAATATGTATATACTCTTTGACTCAGATTTCCTTTCTAGGGAAAAAATGGCGGCACACGTCTATGATTAAATTAGGTACAGTACATCTAAACAGAGTAATATCAAACAGCAGCCTTTTTTAAAATAAAGAACTATAGTTCCCTAGTATAGAAATGCCCCAAATCTACAAATGTATATTGTAAAATAGTACATATGACTCCGCTATGTGTACGTTTTAAATTTACATGTTATAGATAAATCTCACAAACAACATTGAAAAAATGAAGAAAGACACACACGCAAAAAGCACACACCGGATGAACTGTAAGTTAGCTAAG